TTACAAATCCATGCTTATCTATGTACATATACATATAAATAAAATTGAAGTGTCTGTTTGTAATATTGAAATAACCGTTTTTATTACATGCATATGAATATAAATACGGTACATACACCAAAATAACATTTTTTACAATTTTTGTCTGTCTGTTTGTCTCGCTGTTTGTTCCGGCTAATCTTTGAAATGGCTGGACCGATTTTGACGAGACTTTTTTTGGCAGGTAGCTCGTGTAATAAGGTCCTTATTACATCAGATACCTACCTGCAGCAGCAGCTAGCGGCAGCGGCTAGCGGCAGGTAGCTGATGTAATAAGGAGTAATTTAGGCTATCATTACTTTAGAAAAATAAAGTTAAAATCCACGCGGACGAATTCGCGAGTACAGCTAGTAAACATCATAACATAGTATAAAACAAAGTCGCTGTTACTGTCTGTCTGTCCCTATGTAGGATTAAATATTTAAAACTACTCAACAGATTTTGAAGCGGTTTTTTTAATAGATAGAGTAATTTAAGCGGAAGGTGTATTTGTATAATATATGTACACCCGTGCAAAGCCGGGGTGGATAGCTAGTGTATAATAAAAATCTTTTGGTTATCCAAATTATTTTGTTTATTTGGCAAAATATCGATTAAATATTATATAACTAACATTTTCTTATCTAAATTGTTTTAGAATATAGATAAGAAAATCACGCAGTGCATGGAGTTCTGCTCGCACTTATTCGGACATTAATACCATTTCTTTTATAAAACAGATAAGAAATATAAATAATAATAATTAATAACTTGACGGCCTCGATGATGTAGCGATTTAGCACCACCTTTCTTCCGATAGTCGCCGGTTCGATTCCTCTAACACTGTAAAAATGTATGTTCATAAATATGATCGTTTGTATCGGTTCGGTTGTTTTCTATGTTTATCTGTGTATTAATATCAGTTGACTAGTATCCATAACACAAATGCTGCTTAGTTTGGGACTAGATGGCGTTGAGTAAATTATCCAGTTATTATTATTATTATTACTAATAATCTCTTCCCTTCTACTAAACTATATTATAAATCTATATATATAACTCAAAGTTGACTGACATAGTGATCTATCAACGCACAGCCCAAACCACTGGACGGATCGGGCTGAAATTTGGCATGCAGGTAGATGTTATGACATAGGCATCCGCTAAGAAAGGATTTTGATCAATTCTACCCCCAAGGGGATAAAATATGGGATGAAAGTTTGTATGAAACTTTGTCAATTTTAAACCGATCGGGCTGAGACTTTGCATGCATAAAGCTACTATCACGTAGGCATCCCCTAAGAAAGGATTTTGATAAATTCCACCCCTAAGGGGATAACGCGTTACAATTTTAGTTACCATACTCCTCCAAAACGGCTTGAGCGATTTTTATGAAATTTTATATGCATATTTAATAGATCTGAGAATCGGCTACTATTTTTTTTATTTTTTTGGACAAAATTTTATATTTATTATTTTTTATAACGTGGCATAATAAAATATATACAACCCCAAATTGTCACGCTTCTACCGTCAACCCCTATAAATTAATAGCGATTTTAATTTTCATGGCAAAATAACGTTTACGGAGTTAGCTAGTCATTTCTATAACCATAGACCACCAGCTATCTCTATAACCATGTCGAAAATTCTTTTCTTAGCGAAACGAAAACGTTACGATCCGGTCGGTAGGCATTGAAGGTTAGCTTTCGCTGTTGTGTTCATCAAACTGTAACAGTATCATACTGGTTCTATACTCTTGAGATGATGATAATAATTAAAAATATCCCTGGACAATACACACAACGCCCTCTAGTCTCCCCTCCGATCGATCCCCCGTCCAATTCAAACGGGGATCGAAATTACGACGGCCTAAGCATAGGTTCGAACCCCTAGTGGTGCCCTCAGAGTAAAGTCGTATCCGTCAGGCAGGAGCTGGCCTTCAGCCGCTCCATAAGTCCTTCCACAGGTTTGGAATGCCATCTGCACTCGCCCCCTAACGTCCGGTGAAGCTGTAAAGGCCAGCTGCGGCCGAAAGCATTAGAGTAGTCCGAAAAAAAAGTCATCTAGTGCTAAACTAAGCAGAACTTATATTATGGGTACTAGACAACTGATATAAATACTTAGATCATATGGGAACTTTCATGAAAAGAGTTTATTACTTCTTAAAAGGCCGGCAACTCACTTGCAATTCCCCAAATGCTGCGGGTGCTCATAGGCAGCGGTTATTACTCACCATCAGGTGAGCCTACAGCTAGTTTGTCCTCTGAGCTATAAAAAAACCGACCTAGACAGTACAGAGGCCGTCAAACATGTGTGAGATTGATCAAAATTAAATGGGTATAGTTGAATTGGCCCGCCCACAGCGCCCTCGCTCGATAGGTCGTCTCAATTGACCCAATCAACTTTAATTATAAAGATTCCATTTAGACCTTTATGCAAATGGAACGCCAGATTATCCGATGTTTTTTTTCGCACTTTAATGCTGTTGGCAGCTGGCCTGCAGCTTCAGTGGATGATATGACTTCAAGTCTTTCGCACTTTAATGCTGTTGGCCGCAGCTGGCCTGCAGCTTCAGCGGATGATATGACTTCAAGTCTTTCGCACTTCAATGCTGTTGGCCGCAGCTGGCCTGCAGCTTCAGCGGATGATATGACTTCAAGTCTTTCGCACTTTAATGCTGTTGGCCGCAGCTGACCTGCAGCTTCAGCGGATGATATGACTTCAAGTCTTTCGCACTTTAATGCTGTTGGCCGCAGCTGGCCTGCAGCTTCAGCGGATGATATGACTTCAAGTCTTTCGCACTTTAATGCTGTTGGCCGCAGCTGGCCTGCAGCTTCAGCGGATGATATGACTTCAAGTCTTTCGCACTTTAATGCTGTTGGCCGCAGCTGACCTGCAGCTTCAGCGGATGATATGACTTCAAGTCTTTCGCACTTTAATGCTGTTGGCCGTAGCTGACCTGCAGCTTCAGCGGATGATATGACTTCAAGTCTTTCGCACTTTAATGCTGTTGGCCGCAGCTGACCTGCAGCTTCAGCGGATGATATGACTTCAAGTCTTTCGCACTTTAATGCTGTTGGCCTGCAGCTGGCCTGCAGCTTCAGCGGATGATATGACTTCAAGTCTTTCGCACTTTAATGCTGTTGGCCTGCAGCTGGCCTGCAGCTTCAGCGGATGATATGACTTCAAGTCTTTCGCACTTTAATGCTGTTGGCCGCAGCTGGCCTGCAGCTTCAGCGGATGATATGACTTCAAGTCTTTCGCACTTTAATGCTGTTGGCCTGCAGCTGGCCTGCAGCTTCAGTGGATGATATGACTTCAAGTCTTTCGCACTTTAATGCTGTTGGCCGCAGCTGGCCTGCAGCTTCAGCGGATGATATGACTTCAAGTCTTTCGCACTTTAATGCTGTTGGCAGCAGCTGGCCTGCAGCTTCAGCGGATGATATGACTTCAAGTCTTTCGCACTTTAATGCTGTTGGCCGCAGCTGGCCTGCAGCTTCACCGGATGATATGACTTCAAGTCGAGATATGACTTTCAAGAAATAACTTTAGAGTATGCAGAGATGCAGACGGAATTGCATATACAAATAAAATCCACATATTTATCTATACACCTATACATATAAATAAAATTGGAGTGTCTGTTTGTAATATTGAAATAATTGTTTTTTACTACATGCATGTGAATATAAATACGGTACCTACACCAAAGTAACATTTTTTACAATTTTTGTCTGTCTGTTTGTTCTGGCTAATCTCTGAAATGGCAAGACAGATTTTGACGGGACTTTTTGGGCGGTAGCTGATGTAATAAGAAGTAATTTAGGCTACTTTTGTTTTAGAAAAATAAGTTAAATTCCACGCGGACGAAGTCGCGACTACAGCTAGTATAAAATAAAGTCGCTTCCGTCGTCTGTTCGCTTAGATCTTTTAAACTACCCAACGGATTTTAATGCAGTTTTTAGCAGTGGATAGAATGATTCAAGAAAAAGGTTTATATGTATAATACATGTACAATGAGAAGCCGAGTCGATAGTAAATAAATAAAAAAAAATTCACGTAGATTAAATTTTATTCCAAAATTCCATCGCTGTTAACTCGTATATCTTAACGTTTCTTTAAATACATTTTATTAAAATTAAAAATATATTTTAAAAAGAGAACAATAATTTCAATTTTACGCGCCAAATTTCGCAACCGATTTCTTCTTATCAAATTTCAAATTCACTTAACAATTTCATAATATCAGTTGATTCATAAAAAAATATCCTATATTAGGTACAATTCTGTCTGAACGTTTATCAGATCACTAAATCACTTTGCTTGTAATATCACAAATGCTTACATTGAAGTATTCTTTCCCTTAGATCTAAGATCTACTCAGGTCAGTATAGTCCTTGAAGCACTGTCCTATATATATAACAACATATACACATATATGGAAGGAAAAAAATTTAATACAAAACTTGACGTTCATATGTTGCTAAAATTTCCTACATTAATAATAAGATTTTTCATTAAATTTCATGTATACACATAAAAAACTGTTAACAAAATATTTTTATATAATTGCAACATGTAAGTTTCTTGTTCTTTTTTCTTGTGTTTAGACAGCTGTCAGGATGAGTGGTAGATAAAAAAAATGATGACTATCGAAAAGTGCTTCAATGTAAGTTTTCAATAAACTTACATTGAAGCACTTTTGCACATAAATACACAGCACATAAATGATTTTCTATTTTATTTACGGGGAATTAGATTTTTTTTCTAGTTCCCATTCAAATCACGAGAGAGCAATACCAGTTTATATTAACAGTTAATTACACTAATAAACTGTATTATTAAAAACGGTAATAAAAAATACGTTCATAAGTGCAAAAACATGTTCTATATGAATGAAAGCTTTTAAGTTATGCTTTGAATGCTTTTACTCAACACTTTTAATTACTTAACTTTTACTACAGAGGGACGCAGTACCCATAAAGCACGTCTTTATCAAATATTCCATGCTTGTAATAATTAAATTGGACTAAAGAACCTATGTCTATGTCCAGCAGTGGACGTCTTCAGGCCTGCGATGATAATGATGATGATGAAACAAAAGAACATATAAGATTCTTCAGATTTAATGGAACAACTAATGAATCTTCAAGAATGCTATTTATTTACTTTAACCTACATTTGGAAGAATAAGGAAGAATTCGCATTCGCTCGCTTGATTTAACTTCTTTATAAATGAGGTAATTTTATTTATGCATTCAGAATGGTATCATTACATGAATTCAACACGTATAGACTAGAGCAAGGGAAGACGGAGAATATGCATTCGTTCGTTCGGTGTAAACCGCAATTACAATTTTTTTTAAGTCTTTATTATTTGTATTATCTCCTATGAATATAGTGACGGAATGGACATACTCTCACTAGTATTAGGAGTAGAATAACTTGTGGATTTTCTTTCAAAATCATAATCAAAAATCATTTTTTTATTTAGGATATTTTAGCCGCTTGTGAACGTAAAATTTTTTGTATTATAGATTCTTTCCCTACCATTTTGACATTAACAAATTATGGGTACAATATTTGGAAGACCCATTGGCAATAAATTAACGCAAAGCGGAAGAACAAAGGACAGATTTGCGTATCCTAAACCCACTTTATAGTGGATACAACTATAATATAAACGATCTAAACAGTTCTTCGAGGACCATCCACGTAGACCTTTATAGATAACATCTCTATCTAATCTAGATACAAATAGGTACGGAAATTATGATCCTGTAATTTGTATAAGTCATTGTGAAGTTATGACGGAAGATATATATGAAGAGGTATTTCACATGTAATGCGATATTCTAAATTGTAACAACATTTAATCACACACACATGTATGAGAAAGAAATTTTGTTATTAGTAATAAGAGAACAAAGTCGGGGCATTTCCGTTTCGTAAACACAGAAGTCGATCAAATTGTTTATAATTTGCACTTGAAAGTATGTCAGCACAGTACCATTCCTTTGCCTACATCAATTGAAAAAAATATAACAATAGATATTTCCCGCGTTTTTAAGCCATTATCTTTAGGTTTACAAATTTCGTATAAGAAGGTATTAATTAATTATTTCATTTTATTAAAAATTGGCTTAAAATGTGAATTGAAAGGAAATCTCTTCAATTGTTTCTAAAAAGAAAATAAGTTTATGTACTGTATTTATTGTATTAGGCGATATAATTGCCATATAGAATCAGCAAAATAACTTGATTTTCATCGACATTGTTTACGCCCGCGTACATACATTCCATCCTGTCTATATTAGTCAGTGTTTTATTAAAGATAATTGTTCCATACATGTGTGTGTATGTAAAATAAAGAGTATAATATCATACGTATTTATTTACAGCCATTTAGTTATCAATGAACATATGTCTATATTAAACATTTGATAACAAAATGAATTGTTGTTTTAGGAGGCATTTGTATGTAATCGAACTTCAGTTGTTATCTTTGCATACAATGTACAAAAGATTGTAAGCACCTGCACCAGACCTACAAACATACCCATTACATGTAAACAATAACTGACTTACGCAACATTTATAATGCAATACAATTTCCAAAATACGATTCAACAATGTGCCACAACTAATAATAAACTTTGATGGCAAGACTTTACGATTGATAACCAAAACTTCCTCATTAACCTATCAGCCTTCAGCACCGTTTATAACAAACGTTCTTATATTATCAACAAGATATTCCGACGTGCCAACGGCAACCACTAAGCACAAATAACCACTATAATGTACAGCCCTCAAAAAGACCCAAGTTTTGTCACAAAATACCGCTAAAGACAACAAATGCAGGTAGCTATGTGGATTTACAATCCGCCACAAACCGGTCGCAAAAAAGAAAATGCCCGATTTGAAAGCAGACTCTCTTCTAAGTATGTCGTACTCTGTGCAATTCTCGAGCAGATCTTGATAAATATCTATATATCGGTTCCATGTTAATGAAGACAGCAACATTTGTCCAGAAAACAGCCCTAGCACTTGAATAATCCTTTGGAAAGTCACTTTAGTCTTATATGATATACCAATTTCCGTGGTATGCTCCTTTTCGATGTCCTCGCTAGAGTTTATCTCTTTCAATTGATGATAGGGAAGCGTGCTAACTGGCGTGCCCTTGTAACCTCTCCTGGGTGGATTATTCTTCAAGTAAATTAATATACCCAGCATCATAGCTATAACACCAATGAAGTCACAAATGCCATCCACCCAGTAGCCCATTGTGCCCACTTCAGATCTCTCACCTTTGATATTCTTCCTCGATCTAGCGACATGTCCGTCCAAATCATCCAAAAACATTCTCAACTGGAACAGAACAACACCTAGCCTTCTAGCAGCTAAGTTTTGACAAGTCAACAAATTAGCACCAATGCATGCTATAAAAACATGGAAATAGGATATCATATTTGGAGTAATAAATAACATCTTTTCAGATATACTCAGAGCTAAATCCAATATATCACATAATGGTCCGTAAATGTAATGATTTATGTGGTCTACCATAAGGCCTTTGACTGTGGGATGGCACAGGGGATTTATTGTACATGGTACCCAAGTAACTTCCTCGTACCTCGGCTGATCTTTCATAGATTTCGTCGACGACTCCTGTTGGGTACCGTTCTCGGGAGGGTCGAACATATCAATCTTGAAATTCCGGATCCTCAGAAACAGGAATGTGTCCATATAAATGCAGTACACGACAATGACTAGAAGCAAGAACACGAGAATCTTGCTAGCTTGCGAAGATGGCCACATCATCTTGTTTTTATAAATAGCTATAATCCAATGAATGTACAACATAAGGTTTCAAATCCGCTGCTGTAGCAATTGCATCATATCCGACCAGATGTTTAAGATCTTTCGTCTACCAACGTCTAGGCGTGGGTTAACACAACTATTTATAATACCACCCGAATAAAAGCTCAGCATTTCGTTAAATCACCGCACATTTTGTTTTTTATATACATCACTACATCTCGCCACTCACTGTGCAAGCTTTACGTTCCGGAGTTATATCGTTGTGGGATTTTATTGAACAGTATGGGAATATCGTGTTAAACCATAACATTTCACTACAGTTCGGATGTTTCGCGTTGTAATACCTCGTTTATTATTGTGTCAATAGAATTATGTCGCAGTTGACTAACATGCGTGCGCATGGGAAACGCGCGACGTACAGAATGAAGTCAGACTCAGTCAGAATTGGCTGCCGGCTCGACTATTGGTTCTCGGGTCACGGAGCAACTTCGGTCGGAGGTACAGTTGGCGCAAATAAAAAACGAATGCACCTTATTTCAATAGCCATTGAGTCGAAATAATAATAAAACGGGATATGGGGTCATTTGTAATATTATACAGATCTGTTTAAACATAATAATATGTAGCTAGACGTGTATTAGAAGTTCAAGGTTAGTTATATTACTGTTGTGACTGAAATGACAATAGTAAATTAGTTGATAAGTATTTTCTATATATCTGAATAGGTCTGGTACGTTTTATTTGTTGAATTTCAATGAAGTAGGTAACAATATTTCATTATGAAGAAACAAGAATAGCCTTGTATGTAAGTGCGCTACAGGCAGGGGCGTACTAAGGTCTAAGGCACGGAAACCCATAATTTTTGGGACCCGTAAATTATCTTAATAATATTATAAACGCGAAAGTTTGTAAATATAGATGTTTGTTACTCTTTCACGCAAAACTACAATGGATTGTAATGAAACTACAGTAATATAGATTATGCATCAGAATAACATAGGCTTTTTATTGAAATATAACGCGGGTGTAGTTTAGTTTAGTCCTCGAGTGGCGACCACGGACCGGAAGACGCAGCGTGGGAAGACCAGAGAGAAGTCCAGCAAGGTGGACCGACGATCTGGTCAAGATCGCTGGAAGGCATTGGATGCGAGCAGCGCAGGACCGATCGTCGTGGAGATCTTTGGGGGAGGCCTATGTCCAGCAGTGGACATCTTCCGGGCTGCGATGATGATGATGATGAATGCGGGTGTAATCGTGAACACACGTAGTTTTTCATATTTTTTAAAAAAAATTAGGCTAATTGTTTTTATTATTAGGCTACAGGATTCTACATTTAAAAAGAATCCTTATTTTTTTTTATAGTTAGAATGTTAAAGGTTAGGGAATTTGATATATTAGAGTGATTTAAGAAAAAGAAAGAAAGAAAAAATATTCAGTGCTTTTCAACAATGTTACAATATAAAATAGAAATAGAAATAATCTTAATTCAAATAAACTCAATAAAAGCACTTTTGAATAGTCATATTTTTGATTCCACCACTCATTCGGAACGCAGATTCATCACAAGAAGAATGTGCAAGAAACTTGTGTGTTCCTATAAGAGGAACGCTTCTTTGTATAATACATGTACACCTGTGCGAAGACAGGGCGGATAGCTAGTATGGAATATACGTAATTTCATCCTAATGCACTCTTGGCACCACAATCAGGACAGAAACCACCGTAAAATATTACCATTACAAATATCCAGTTATAACCGGTTTTATCACAAAACCTATTGTTATTTCTAGCTATTGTGTAGTTATATTCTGCATAACCCATTTTGGATTTTATTGTGTACTTACAAAAGTCGAGTTTCACAGTTGGCTTTATTTCATGCCTGTTGAAGGGAGACGGATATAGTATATAGGTTATGACTGCTTATTTTGTTGTTCTCTGTTTTTGTATTAAAGTAAGATTATTAATTCCAGTCATTAAAATAACATTTCCAGTGTTGCAATTTTTAATCTCAAATAAATAGTGATGTGGTAGAATCGAGTTTTTACAATTAAAAGTTAGTCGAGATTACATTTTTTTTATTCAATATCAAATTGCCTTTATACAAATAAAAATTCTAGTATTAATTCCTCTGAATCCGATGACCGATACAAACAATCGTACTCATGATAACAATGTTTGCACCGTGCGAGGAATCGAACCCGCGACCATCGGATGTAAAGCGGCGTGCTAAACCACTAATCCAATGAGGCCCTCTATATATATAATATATATGTATGTCGGTAGGCTGTACATATATAATATGCGTTTCTCTTATTTATTTTATGATAAACTAGATATAACATAATCCCAATGACAAATGAATCATAGACTAGTGTTAACACTAATACAACAACTAACAATCTGTTATCTACAACAACACGCGTGTGATTTGTATGTATGTAGCGTGTAATCTCAGAAACTACTGTAAACGATAATAACACACATTCACACAGCGCCATCTAGCGTGTAACTGAGTAGACCTTGTGCTAACTCTTAACTAAACAACTGATAGAAATACTTAAATATTTTATGTAAATATATACATAATTAAGAATGTAATGTTTTTTAGCATTTTTAAATCCGCCTGCTCTATCAGGGGGTAGGGTAGGCGGATTTAAAAATGCTAAATAAAAATAAATGCTAAATCATTCTGGTGATACTACGTATCACCAGAATGATTTAAGTAAAAGTAAAATGATTGAGGTAAAAAGAACTTCGTGGTGACTCAAAAAGAAGATATAGTATGTAGGTACAAAAAGCGGTCTTGGGGGGAAATGGGATTGTTACTAATGTGGATTAATAAACCCATTACTAGTAATGTACCATATCAGGTTGACCTCCACGCGGTTCCCCCTGGAAACCATCGTGATAAATTCTTGGTGAATTTGTCACGATGGGCTAACTGACCTGACCTCATGCACTTTTTATCATCTCCACTGGTGCCCCGCCAGCGTAAACCGTTAGCGCAGGCGAGTGCACCATTTCATTATCATACACACAAAAAAAAAGGTCTTATCGCTTAAGCGATCTCTCCCAGACAACCTTTGGGTAGAGGAGAAAAGAAAGTGGTGGATGGCGCGTGATGGAATGAAAGAAACATAAATAATAACAGTAATATATCAAATATATACATAATATGAATGTAAAGGGAGGGGACGCCCTAAGAAAAGATGGATGGATTGTGTGAAAGATGATATGAATAAAAGAAGAGTATGCTCAGATATGACGACCGATAGAGAGCAGTGAGAATGACATACTGCGCCGACCACAAATAATGGGATAAAGGCAACGCAATAATGATGATTATACATAATATATATATAATATAAATATAGAGTAATATAATAAAATATTAAAGAAATATATATACTATAGTAGCTATGCAATATTCAACTGAGAAATAATTTAGTAATGAGGAAGGAGAGTAGAAAGAAATTATTATCTTCTTAAGTATTATAAACATGCAAGGCAATAATAGTTCATGTACAGGATTTTCATTTAATGTAAATAAATTGTCTATTAAAAAAATCTGTTGAGTTTCTTGCCAGTTCTTAATTGCATATATATACTGAACTAGCTGGTAGGGCAAGTATATTAATAAAAAAAAGTTCATAAACTGCTAAAATGTTGTACATGAATAAATTATTTTTGACTTGCTTTACCCGCAACTTCGTCCGTGTGAAATTTAACTTTATTTTTCTAAAAACAAATTTTCCAAAATAAAAGTAGTCTAAGTTACTCCTTATTATATAAGCTACCTGCCAAAAAAAGTCCCGTTAAAATCGGTCCAGTCATTTCGGAGATTAGCCAGAACAAACAGACAGACAGAACAAAATTGTAGAAAATGTTATTTTGGTGTATGTATATACCATATTTATATTCATATACATGTAGTAAAAAACGGTTATTTCAATATTACAAACAGACACTCCAATTTTATTTATATGTATGTATACATTTGATTTGTTATTGATCAATAAAGCCATACCTGTGGAACTTGAGTCGACTTCCCGCATCCAGTTTCACCAATCAACACCAATGTTTGATATTTCTCCAACAAATACAGTATATGATTCCTATACTGAAACACTGGTAACCTCTGCCGTTGGGCTTCGAACGGTAGATGATGGTATCTATTGTACACAAAACTTGTCTGTGCATCTTTGTCTGCAGTCAATGCTGTATCTATATTTGGATTTATCAGTGTTTCTATCTTGCCATCTCTGTTCCTCGTTGGGTATAGTGTTTCTTCATCACCTAGAGTCATAGAAGGTATGATTAAGACTTTAAGATATGAATACAGCTCCTAATAAAGATTATATTTCAAAATCATAATCAAAATCACAAATTATTTATTCATGTAGGACATTTTAGCTACTTAAGAATTTTAAAATTTTCCCTACCATCCAATTCAATATACAGATTCAAATGTGAAAAACTGGCAAGAAACTCAATTGAATTTCTTTTATTTTTTAAATTAAGGCAAGCACATTGTGTACTTATAAAGGAGTCTATGTCTGACATTATTTGGCAACGGCTAAACTTGTCTATTTTAGCTATTTCCATAGCATTATGTCGTATGGTATTTTGTTATGGGGCAAAGCAGCTGATATAAATACAATATTTACTTTACAAAAGAGGGCCATTCGCTCCATTTATGGTATGGGTTCCAGGGAGTCATTGCGAGAGTGTTTTAAGGAATCAAATAACCGTTGCTTCTCAATACATTTATGAAAATATCATCTATGCCAGAAGGAATATAGACAGTTTCAAAAGAGTTAGTGATTGCACTAATAAAAGCTTACGTAACAATAACAAACTGATTTTACCTAAATGTCGTTTGGCTAAAGTTAGTAATTCGTTTTATGGCAATTGCGTAAGGTTTTACAATAAAATACCAGAGTCTGTTATAAATCTGCCAGAAAAAAGATTTAAATGTCAAATAAAACAGTTCCTTTGCAAAAAAGCTTACTATAAAATTGAAGAATTCGTTAACGATAATAATGTTTTTATAGAAAAACTTTAAATCTATAGCACTGACAATATTATCTGATTACATTAATAATGAGTGCGTAGCGACTTCTATGTTGATTATCGCATGGCTCTTACTTGTGATACTGTAATTATTTATATAAAAAAAAACATCTATTAAAAAGAGCAACACACAAGTTTCTTGCTCATTCTTCTTGTGATGAATCTGCATTCATGAGTTAGAATCAAAATATGACTATTCAAAAGTGCTTGTAATGAGTTTATTTGAATAAAGATTATTTCTATTTCTATTTCTATTTCTATTAAATGGAAATCCCATGATTGAACAACTATAGCCATGCATCATCATTTAAGTAAGCCTATAGCAGTTTAATTTCTATATCATAATAAATTCTTTCTCTATAATTCAATATTGGCGCAGATTATACCATCTCTATTTCTAGAAATGCTAATTAAATACTTCCTTTTCAAATAAACTTAATATAGGCACTTTATTAATTTATTTTGGATGTCCATCCATATTATGTTGGTAAACAACTTATGAACTATGTTCGTGAATTATGATATATATTCTTGTTATTTTAATTCATATATCTATATCCACCTCCACAGCAGTGCAATGATGTCCGTACTGGACTTCATTGCACTGCTGTGGACCCAAAGGAGTGGACAGTCCAACATATTTGTTATAATTGAGGAGGTTGTTTGCACTCTCTCGAATTCAAAACATCAGTGACTTTATAATAGTGGTGTATTTTATAGAACCATGATTAGGGATTGGATAGGATGCAGATTCAGCCTAGAAGAATAGGTAAGAAAATAGCCTGTTTCTTAGCTGACAGTATCTTCAATATTGAAGACAATCCTATTATTGTTGCAACAGACTACAAGCAATGTAAATATGTTTTTCAGAGAATAATTAAATTACTATTGCAATATGGCATTATGATGTTTGTAGGTAAAGCCGGATTATACCCGGGCAAACCGGGGGCAGACCACTAGTAAAGTTTATAAATTTTTTTGTCGAAAAAAAAAGATTCATTGACTAAAAACCATATACAGCTATACGGTCGCTGAATAATTTTAAGGTTAGGTAGGTTAGCGGGATGTTTTGATGTAATAATTTAGTCCCCGGAAGATTATTGAACTTGCAAAACATGGCTTAGTAATGCTCCGAATAAAATAAAATAAATTTCTTAATCAAATGTAGTTTCAGTTAAGTACCTGGCTTTATAAATTTTGGTCTTGACCCCAACATTTTTCACCAACTTTATAAAACAAAAACACATTTATCACCACATAATTTATTATACTCACTAACACAAGTATTTATTAAAACAAAATAACATCAAAAACACTGTTGTTTGTAATATTTCTTATTCATTTGTTTATTTTCACATTGTCATCATCAGAGTAAATATTTTGTATTTGCCGGTAATCGTTACCGGTTACTATGCTATAATATACTTTGTCTTTTAAAAACAAATAGTAATAACAACCTTCTTATATGCATTTTATTCAAACTATTTTTTAAAGTAAAAAAACCGCTTGAAAAAGAGAAATGACATGAAACATAGGAAAGTACAATAACACTGATTTAATAGGCATTAGAAAATAAATCGTACGTCTTAAGCAATAAGATACATTATCAATTACATTAAATACTTTGCAAACTGCACTTGTTCTTGACAATGATTGAATGAATTAAACTTAGAATGAACGTAAAAAGTTATGAATTAAAACGGAAATGTCATTCTATTTATTTTTCTTTTTTACTCATATTACTGCACTGGAAGATAGGCAACTTAAATAAAATAAAATAATTACAATTTTATCTCAAAACCAAGTTAAAACATAGTATTCTTATACTATGTTAGTATAAATGTTGGAAGTTTTAGCTTAGTTGTTTTTTGTCATTTGGTATTGGGCCCGTAACATTAGTTATAAATATAAAACCTCATTCAGATCTAATGAGATAAATACTTTTTAATAATTATTTAGGTATTAACTTCCAACCAGGAAAAAATATGAATTTGTATTATCTAATACGACATTAATAATTCTATTTGTCAGTGTATATTATATTAATTATATTGGTATACACAGATACTCATACTGTATTATAACTTCACGACTATAATTCCAGATGGGGTAGTCAAAGCTAAATCACGATACTATCGATGTATTAGATACCTTGATATATTCATAGACAATGTGATAATATTATTTAAATCCATCATGACAGCTTAGGGGCCAACCATAAATTGTGAGTGGGAGGGGAAGGGTCAATTTATCACAGAGACGTGGCACAATACTGTGACGACCTCAGTGGTCTGGTGGTTTAGCACAGCACTTTACTTCCGATGGTCGCGGGTTTGATTCCTCGCACGGTGCAAACATTTGTATACATGAGTATGATTGTTTGTATCAGTTTATTCTATGTATATTATGTATGTATTTATAAAAAAAAATATCTAAGTATTTATTTATTTATTTTATTTATAACTCTTTATTGCACCTTTAAACAAATACAAAACAAAAGAATATTCATAGTATGTAGGTGGTGATGGTACAAATGGTGGTCGCTTAAGCGAGTTAGCTTTTATATCAGATGTCTAGTAACATAAGCTCTACTTTCTGTGGGTCTAGATGGCGCTATGTTAATTGTCCAGAGTTATTTAATATTAAGAGGTACATTTACATATATATGAGGTTATATTTACATATATATTTATGTATGTATATTGTTATTTTTTTATAGAAATGTATATTTTGCTTATCTTTATATATCTTTTTTTGACATTTCTTATTTATATTAGTGCACCGCCAATAATCTTTCGCTGCACCACTCATGGTTGCCTGGTAAATAACGCGGCAAGATATTAAGTCCGCCACATGTACAAATTTTTTTGTGCATTTAAGTTAAATAAATAAAAAAAATACAATACTGTTATATATTATAGTATGTATACATACGTACCCTCTTATTTTTGTCACCACGCAGCTTACTCCATAAGCTGTTCCGTTTTTAAGAGAGAGACAGAGTGAAATCACAGGATACACCAGAGAGAGACGTAACACCCGAGTCCTCAAGAATAGCTACTCATCAGACCACGGGTGATACTCTTCGATCGATCCCTGACCTATTGAAACTCGGATCGAAATCACAACTACCTGTATTGGTATTCTATATGCGTTTTATCAACTGATTTCACTCATCACACACTTGTATCTATGTCAAATATAAAATTCCTCCCGAGCTATCGAGTTTACCTATATATTTAAAATAGAAATAATCTTTATTCAAATAAACTTAATATAAGCAATTTGAATAGTCAAGTTTTTTTATTCTACCGCTCATTCGGAATGCAGACTCATCACAAGAAGAATGAGCAAGAAACTTGTGTGTTGCTCTTTTAAATAAATATTGATTTGCTTATATTTAATTAACAACAAGGATTAGGCATGCGACAATCAATATAAAAACCGCTACGCACTTAATCTCTGTTCAATCAGATAACAACTAACATTAGTGCCTGTTTTACCTCTAACCCGCTCTCGAGCGTGTGGCACTCCAGTCGCTATCGAGTTTTACAGAAAATCTATGTACAGTCTCACGGCGGATTCCACTTTGGAATTCGTAAGTGATGCTTACAGTTACAGCTCGAACCTCGGATCAGTTAACAGCTCTATTGATCCGAGGTTCGAGCCCCTAGCGGTGACCTCAGACTAAGATCGTATCCGTCAGGCAGGAGATTATCTTCATACACTCAAGAGCCCCTAGCGGTGCCCTCAGACTAAAAGTATCCGTCAGGCAGGGGTTGATCTTCAGACACTTCATTATTCATCTGCGAGTTTGGAGTACCCTCAATACTCGCCAGTACGGCCAACAGCATTAGAATGCGTACTTAGTTCAAAGAAAACAGTGATTTCCATGCTGTTCACGTATATAGCCGACGGTGACCATTTACCATCAAGTTGTTTGTCATTTCAGTTACATAAACGAGTTTCAAGGCGTTTTGGCCGGAGTTCCCACCAACATGCTGACTACTTTCATGAAGGAGGACTACTGGCTGAAGGGTGTGGTGTATCGGCGCTATTGTGCTGTGCAGATTGCCGGCATCAGTGCCGTGACCACAGAGACAATTTATATTTTTATTTTCTATTAATTTTAATATCATTCATATGTATGTTAGACTGTAAGGTATCATCACAACATAGTATAAAACAAAGTCGCTGTCGCTGTCTGTCCCTATGTATGCTTAAATCTTTAAAACTACGCAACGGATTTTGTTTTTTTAATAGATAGAGTGATTCAAGAGGAAGGTTTATATATATAATACATGTACACTAAGCCGGGGCGTGTAGCTCGTTTATAATTTGGGCCATTAGTAGCCTGAATTAAATGAATAAATAAAAAAATATAACAGTCCTCCTGAATACAGAGGAGTAAATGGTGGCCAGATATAGACGTCGAGCAGGATCATCAATTCAGAATGTGATTTAAAAAATAATTAAAAAGAATTAGTTATTTATTTATACACAGGTACGTAATAAATAGCTACAGATAAATATACTTATATATAACATTTAGAAATGCTTATTATATTTTTAAATACTAATATAATGGCCTGCGTATATATATACTACAAGCTGTTCCCGCGACTTCGTCCGCGTGGAAGTTAACTTCATTTTCTAAAAAGGAGTTACTCCTTATACATCAGCTACCTGCCAATAAAAGTTCTGTCAAAATCGGTCCAGCCATTTCAGAGATTAGGCGGAACAAACAGACCGACAGACAGACAGACAAAAATTATAAAAATTGTTATTTTGGTATATGTACCGTATTCATATGCATGTGGTAAAAAACGGTTATTTCAATATTACAAACAGACACTCCAATTTTATTTATATGTATATATGTATAGATAATGCGTCTATTATAGACGATTTATGTCGTAATGGTCCGTGAACAGCCTTCTTTAGTGGCTGTATAAACCGATACGAGAACGGCATGGCCTACCACTAATATACCTTGTATATTACATCCAATAGGTACAAAAGAATGTAAGAGCCTTAAGCGTCCAATGAAGTTTTGGATTAACTTGTGTTGTATACTGTGCTGGCTAATCAGATATGTGTTTGTTATTCTTATTATATTTATATAAATTATATTAACATCTCATCTGCGAAGGAGCCAATTTATTGGACTCGAATACAATAGCTCCATCTGTGAGAAGTCCTGTAACTGGTCTCAAAGATGGCGCGTTAATGTCATCTTGACAGCTAACTGTTGGTTATATTAAGTTAATTGTATAAGCATAGGATAGAATATCTATATGGGTGTACCCAAGTAAATAAGGGAGAGGATCCAACTGCGCTTTCTGATAATTTTGTTTTAATTGATGATAATGGTATACACCCTTGGATAAATGGTATACGCTGGCGGGGTAGTAGAGGAGGATGAGCATGAGGTCTGGTCACTTTGCCTGATTTGATTAAATAACCTGGAATTAACAATGGTTTCCATGGAGAAACGCGAGGAGATTGAGCTAACATTGCTAGCAATGGGGAAACAAAACGCTATTACTAAAAATACCATTCCTCCCTTCCTGATAAATGCATACGTTTTACAAAAATCGCGATCTGTGCTAAGTAAACTCTTCCTTCCTTTGTACCGGAAGAAAACTAAAATGCTTAACGTGACCAAACGTCCTGTTTTAAACGGGATTGACCCTTTTTATAATTACGAGTCCCGGTGTGAAACTGTAGTACGAAAAATTGTCCCGTTTTCGGAAACTCCGCGAAAATTTGTGCAGTCGAGCGGTGGTAGTGATGTAGATTAAATTTGCTAATAGAAATAGAAATAGAAATAATCTTTATTCAAATAAACTCATTACAAGCACTTTTGAATAGTCATATTTTGATTCTACCACTCATTCGGAATGCAGATTCATCACAAGAAGAATGAGCAAGAAACTTGTGTGTTGCTCTTTTTAATAGATGTTTTTTTTTATATAAATAATTACAGTATAACAAGTAAGAGGCATGCGATAATCAACATAGAAGTCGCTACGCACTCATTATTAATGTAATCAGATAATATTGTCAGTGCTATAGATTTAAAGTTTTTCTATAAAAACATTATTATCGTTAACGAATTCTTCAATTTTATAGTAAGCTTTTTTGCAAAGGAACTGTTTTATTTGACATTTAAATCTTTTTTCTGGCAGATTTATAACAGACTCTGGTATTTTATTGTAAAACCTTACGCAATTGCCATAAAACGAATTACTAACTTTAGCCAAACGACATTTAGGTAAAATCAGTTTGTAATTGTTACGTAAGCATTTATTAGTGCAATCACTAACTCTTTTGAAACTGTCTATATACCTTCTGGCATAGATGATATTTTCATAAATGTATTGAGAAGCTAATCTAAATAATACTTAAATTTTAAGCTAACCATTTCTGAATGAAGCTTTAAGATTTTTTTTCATTGCCTGACTATTAATTCACATAAATAGACCAATGTCCCGTTTTGAGTCAGAGAATAAATGGTCATGTTAAACATGACCCTAATTTCTCGTGGGTCAGAATCCTGGTACACCCATATCTAATTATTCTATATTTTGCATAACTAAATGTAATAATATGTACCTTACAGTTACGATATTGTTACGGACATTAAATTTTATCAGTAATAAACAATAATTTATAATTTGAAGCAGTTACAAAACATAATTGTGTTGTAGATTATTTATATACCTATTTCATTATTGTACTAAATAGTATGTATTTAAATTTAAGCTTATAAAATTATATTATAAAATATAAATTATATTATAAATGAAATTGGAGTGTCTGTTTGTAATACTAAAATAACAGTTATTTACTACATGCATATGAATATAAATACGGAACATACACGAAAATAACATTTTTTACAATTTTTGTGTCTATTTGTTTGTTCCGGCTAGTCTCTGAAATGGCTGGACCGAGTTTGACAAGACTTTTTTTGGCAGATAGCTGATGTAATAAGGAGTACTCTTATTTTAGGAAAATTATTTTTTTCAGAAAAATAATTATTTTTATATCCACGCGTACGAATTCGCGGGAACAGGTAGTATATAATATATAATTAATTAAATATGTATATGTAAGTATTTGAGAGTAACGTTACAATGTATAGTAAATATACAAGCAAATATACAGTTAATAGGTTCGTAATAAAACTCATTGTAGGAAAACTCCACAAATTATTGCTTAGAGGAAAACTGAAAATATCCTATTACATGTATCATACATTAGATTGTACACTTGTATGGTCTATATATTATTAACATATATTTATATAATAGGTACATGATATGTTTGATTCGGATTTTGCAAATTTAAATCATTAGCATCAGTAATCTTAGCACCATCTTCTTCTTTTTTATGTTCACCAAAAATATCAATTTGCTCTTGATTTACCTTTAAAATATCATTAGGATCTATATCAGAATTTAGATTATGAATGATTTTGTACTGTTCATTCAAAGCATCGTCGTCGCCGTTAACGATTTTTGCTTTAACTAATGTACCATTATCACTAACTAATTTGAGAATGTCGTCTTTTTCTACAGCTTTCAAATCTGGAGATATTTCTGTAATGTTAGATATCGTGACCAACTCCTGATACAGTTTCCTTGGATTATTTTTCAGGTATGGTTTTCTATACAGCATCTGATTAATATTACGTACAAATGTTTGATACGGCAGTCTATATTTTACGTAATAGTATGGTTGGTAAGTTATCGGTTTTGGTCGTTTAAGCAAATACGTCAACTCCATCATGCCGGCCACGTTAGGCAATGTATTCAATTTATATAGATTAGCTACGGCTAACCGTTGTAAATCTGGCGACAGCATTGAATTACCTACAACAGGCTTATAGTACAAAGGAGCAGAGCTAATTTGATGAGGAGTTACCAAATCTGAAGGAATATTGTTTTGGGTTTTCATGTAATCTAATAGAGTTTGCGAGGTGTCTTTGTTGATGCCTGGAATACCATTTTGGTTTGCAGAAATGTCAGTCAGTTTGTAGTCTGGTAATAAATTTGAATAATCATTTTGATTCAAATTCATATTACCCGGAGAAGGAATGCTATTCTGCGTTACACGCTTTTCGTTTGTATTGGGTATTTTAATTTCGTCGGGTTGTCTATATTCTCCATGTTCTGTTAATTCCTTTAGAAGTTTCAAAAGTGGTATTAAATCTGATTTAGTTGAAGTTATCTGATTATTAGGATTACTATTAGGGTTGTTTAAGTTTGACTGTTTATTAAAATGATTACTTTCAAGATTTGGATATTGATTTGACACATCTTGTTGATATACTGGTACATAGTTTTGAATTGGTTGATTAATCGGAAGTAACATTTTATCTTTTTTCACGCCAGGATGATTAGCATTATTGATATGATTCTGCGGAGTATTAACTGAATGGTCATTAGCTTGATCTTGGATTAGTTTTATTACGTTTTCTAATGTAGAATTTTGAGATAAACCCTTACCAACATTATTCAACATCATACTTAAAGGAATCTGAGCTTCATTTTCAGGTAAATTCGAATGATCTTGTGGCATTTGTATTAATTTATGTTTAAAATTTAATTTATTAAAGATGTGATTCATTGGTACATTTAAGTGTTTCTTTACTACATCAGCTAAAGCATTATTGTCGAAGTTCTGTTTATTTGAATGTAAGTTATGTGCTTGAAGAGTAGTTTGATTTGCAACATTTGTATTGTACTGAGAGTTTACAAGCTCTCTGTTATAATATTGCATATTATTAAAAGGGACTTGCGATTGCATTGCATTAGTACCTCTTTCGTTAAAATCAGCTGCGAAAGGTTTATAATTAGATCGTTGTGATGTATCATGAATATTCATTTGGGGTATTTCGCCAACCGATGGTGACCCCTTCTTCTTAACTATAGGTTCTAGTTTGTAGTTCTGCAGAAGTGACATAATTTTAGGATTATTTTTTATCAAATCAATATTATACAGGTCCGGTACTAAATCATTAATATTATTTGAAGAAAATAACTCATTGTCATTGTTAGGTAAAACTCTTTGCATATTTATAAGATCCGGATTTGTAAATTTATTATCGAAATTAGAATCTTTTTGACTTAGTTTATTCGGAACACTATTTGCATTTGGATTGACTTTGTTTTGAGTTCCCGAATTATCCAAACACGTTGGATATTTTGCTAATTGAAGATAAGTATCATGTGCATTCTGGATTAACCTACCCAATATTTCTTTGCAATTTGGCTGGTGTAAATTCGGTGACACATTTTTTAACACTATATTCGTTTTTAATGGATACTTATGCACCCACTCCAAATAATTTTCTAAATGTCTTATTTTTTCCATAATTTCATCTTTCTCTTCACTATCCGAAGACTCTTCTAGATATTTCTTAATAAGTGGTAAGACGTATAAGACCTTGTCAATGTCTGAGTTATATTGCTGGAGAAAATCTAAAACTATATCCAAAAGTGGAAACAGCATTTCGGAATTATCACAATTGTTCTGTTTTATCGAAGATCCCGCGGATGTAATGTGAATTTTAGTCAGATCGGTATCCTGTAGTAAATTAAAAATACACAATAGTATTACGATAAAATCAAAATAGGATCATATATTTAAATTGGATATGTACAGCTTTTCAAAACAAATTCATTTACACATAAAATATATTTGAAGAAACCAATGCCCAATGCTTAGAGAACTTGATAACAAATTTTGTAATTCAAAATTCATCCCAACAAAATTTTACTAGACTTACTTCGTCAAATACATTAATTTTATAAAACATTAGACGGACTTCTTGCTATAAAGCAATGTTGTACAGTATGTTGGTAATATAGTCAACAGGAAGAGTTTAGTTACTAGAATTACAGTTTAGATATTAATATAAACATACAGAATTTCGATAAGACTATTTCTGTACTTACCATAGTTTCAGCAATACTAGACATTAATGAAAATACATGAAATAATCCTAAAACTATATTCACCAACATCGTCACAAAGTGTTCACAAAATCAACTCAAAGTAAGAGAGTTTCAATATTAATTATGGTATGTCACATTAACTCCCATGAAATCGTTGCGATAAGATCGATTTGGAAAAGAAACTTGTAATACTATTTAGGACACAAAATATAAATATTAAATTAATAATCAACATGTCTGTCAAACAGTTATTCGTTAGTTTGTAAATAGACGTTCCTAGAATATGTAATACTTTAAAATTAGTTTTAAATAAATATTTTTTCTAAACATGTGCTAAATTCTAACTGGGTCTTAGTTCTTGAAAACGTTGGTATTTATCCAGATAATATCCATTTAATAGAGAAGCTATAATAGGTTTGAGACTTGATTTTATGTTCATATATGTATTTTCTTGGCATTCACGTAAAGACTTCTCAATGATTTCGGGCAATACATAGTTATACAACACGGTAAAAAATTTATATATTAACTCTTCAGATACTCCCAATTCTCTAAAATAGATAATGGTATTCCGAAGGATGGTATCCATATCTTTAATAATATTGTCCTCTAGATTAAAATTTGAAATGGTTGGTTTGTAAAAACTAGGACGGTTTATAACAGGACTGTTAGTAGAAGTCATAGAACTAGCTTCATCTAAGGGAAGATGATCTATTTTCATATCTGCGTAATTAGGAAATTGTTGATCAGTGACATATTTGTCATACTTGTCAGTAGTCATGTCTATAGGTTCAGTAAAATGTTTATCCTGTTCTGGTTGTGGTAGTGTATTTTGAGCAATTCCTGGATTTTCTTCAAACGACAGATTTTGATAATTTTCCCCTATCTTTTCAAAATTGTTTTGATCGCCAGCATTAAAATAATATTTATTTAATTTAGGATCATATCCGGCTTGTGCCTCGTATGTGTCTGTATATTTTAGGTCTTTAACTTCTGGTTTTAGTAGTTGATTATAGAACAAACTTATTTTATTTTTATTATCAGCTACATTATCTTTCAGCAAATATTTATTATCAAAATTAGGCGACTTATAATACATCTGATTGTCATATTTATAATATTGAGGACTTGGTGTCATATATAAACTATATGAAGGGTTTTCTAAATCCACTGTTGGTTCAATTAAATTGTATTTATTAGAGTTGATAAGTAGTCTAGGTTCATCAAGAAATATATCATGTGGCAGAGATTTACGGTATGGTACATTATATGTATCTGTTATCAGAACCTTATCATCCGAATTGGATTGAGGTTCGACACTGGATTTTGTGTCGTATACATTCATTTGAGCAGTATCAAGATTTCTATGCTTGTCAAATGCAGAAAAATGCTCATTGTTGTTGATTATTCGATTCCTTTTTGGTCCACTAGGCAAATTTGTATACGTTTTCATATTCTTGGGTAAATCATTATTACTATTTTTATCTTTATCGGCATCAAATGATAAATAATCGCTTATTTCGGTATCTAAATCCAAATTTTTTAATGATCGATTGTCGTTTGTTAACACATAGTTTAGAGGTTTTTCAGTGAGCTCTAAATATTGGTCATCTGCTTCATTTAAATTATACTGATTTTGTTTTTTTACAGCACTTGTTGAGGGTTTAATTACAGATTTGATATCATATCCATCATTATTTCCTGTAACGGGTAACCCTGAAGTAGTAAAATCATTAGATACTAACATATACTCATTATTTGGAACCATAGATTTTCGTTCAGACTCTGGATTTAATTTAATTTCTGAGTCTTCGATATCTATGTAAGTTTTCTCTATATTATCGACTAGATCAGCGAATGTTGAATACATATTGCTTTCTGTAGTTATAAATCCTACATGCATTAAAGATTTACTTGAAGTTAAATTCTTTGGATCACCGATGTGTGCTTGAGTAGGCTTTTTAATATGTTCAGATTTTATAGAACCTTCATTATAATTTTCATCTGAAATATGTAAATCAAGAGGCTGCTTATTAGCAGAATTAGAGTCAGTAACTTTCCCAAAAGATTGAACTTTATGTGCTATTTCGTCTACAATGAATTCAGTGGGTAGCCCTAAACTCTTAGCTTCGTCTAATTTTGTAATTATTCCAAAAGTTATATATAGTTTCTCCTCATCAGATTTAGTATTATTTGTCTGTAACTTTAATAGCTTCATTAATATTCTCAAGTAATCTAACAAGTTATCTTTACTTGTTGTACATATATTTGAGATAAGATCATACGGTATTTCTTTATCCTTATAATCGATACTAAAATTTTCTAAATTTGATTTCGTATTTTGATATTTTTGAGAATATTTATCAGTGTTTTGTATCATATAATTTTCAATTTTTAATTCGTCATTTGTGTTTCTATTAAGCATTAAATTAGAATTTCCATCCTCTTTTTCATAATTATTAACATTTGGGACAGTATCGAGTGTTTCATCCCCTAATAATGCTTCAGCCCAAATATCTGGTAAAATATTTGGATTAATGTTGGTACTTGATTCCGTTGTCTGTAAAATTAACATTATTATTAATATAAACAATTGTCAGCTGACAGACAGTCAGTTTACATAGAAGAATAAACAATGGTTACAATTCGCAAAGATATCTCAATGGTGACTGCTACGGAAGGACTGTATTAAGGCTGGTTTAAAACGAGACACGTTTCTAGGTCTGATAAAATATGTGTATCAGCTCGCTATCAAAAATGTAAAGACCGTAGAGCATAAGAAAACAAACGGTATATAAAAACAGAACGTCAAAATATAGCTACAATTCAAAAATATATAAAAACTATCAAAAAGGTAAAGGTGCCTTCGGTAACAGGGACTATAGGAATGGATTGAATATTTTTTTATAGTAATTTTACAATCAAAAATATTCAAGTATGGTATGCTACCAGTGCATAATAAAGTAAAAAGTTTTAATTAATTTATGTCATTGAAATTTAATATATCCATAAACTTATATAATCTTAGCCAGTACAGTACACCACTGGCAAGCCGACTCCTTTTTAAACTCGATGGAAAACATACCAGGAAACAAAGAATCACATTTAATTTACGCATGAGATTCGATAGTCAGATAACCTTCTAAACTAACTATTTGGTACCTAAATATTATTAAGATATAATGTATTATATTCATTACGACAATAACAAATAACAACATTCTAAATATCTATAATTAATATATATAATTAATTTTACCTCTTGTGATTTTACCGCAATGTTTGTCGTATTTGTAGCTTTATTAGTTGAATTGCGTTTAATGGTACTATCGTGTTTAGCAGTCATATTTTTATCCCCGTTTTGTAAAGTGACAGGTTTACTAGAATCTTTAAGTTCATTAATAATTTCAGCGATACTGTACTGATCATTAATAGCATTATTTGTTTCAGTATCATTAACATTTGAATGTGTAACATTAATTTTACTATGCAATTCATCTTCTTTCTCTTTTAACAAACTAGTATTAGATTTGGTATCATAACTATGTACATAGTTATTCATGTCAATATTTAGTTCTTTTTTTATTTCGACCATGTCTGTATTATTTTTTGTATTTTCTTTATCACTCTCATGCGATGATACGGCATATGTCGTTAAGTTATTTAAATCATTATTTATGTTCGAGTTATTATTTAGAATTGAAAGATATGCTTTTATTATAAGCTTTTCGAATGAAGAGATATTTTTTAATTTATCCATTCCCAGTTCATCCTTAAATATAACCTCTACAGTTTTATTTGGGGATTTATTATTTAAATTCAAGATGTCAAGTTTAGGAAAGTTTGCTGTGTCATTCTTTAATGAATGAGTACTTATATTATTAACTCCGGTATCATTATTATTAATTTTGACTTTATTTATTTCTGAGTTATTATATTTTGTAGTTTCATTATTGGAATTTGCAATTTCACTTGAATAGTTAGAATTGTTTTGTGTATCTTCAGAAGAAATTTTATTTATATCTAATTTTGTAAAGTTACTTTTCACTTGTTTAGGAATTTCAGTAGATATTCTTCTTGGATAGATTTTCTTAAAATCATTCAAAGGGTTATTTTCTAATTCAACATTGCTTATTAAATTATCGGTTTGATTTTCTCTACGTGGTTCATTAAATAGCTTTGATATTGATGAGTCATTATTATGTACTGAATTGAATTCACTGATTGGTAAATATTTGATAGCAGGGCTTTTTGTTTCATTTTTGTCGTCTATTGCATGAAGAATTAAGTTGTCACCTGAAAATAAATTATTTTGTTACTAATATTCATTAAATATTTTCAAAATTAGATATTGTTAGGTAGATATATTTATTTAATTTGAACTATTTTGAGAACTGTTGTATTTATACATATTTAGATATTATCTTCGTAATAATCTTTCAGATTTGATCTTTTTGAATCTGTTCCTGAAAATAATAGTTTTAATGCACTAGCATAATCCTTTGTTATTTTAGGATTTAATAGTATATCAGTTATTGATGGTTTCATATTATTCATTTCTTTATTTTTGCTTCTTAAAGCACTATATTCAACATGCTTTTTTGGACCGCAACTTAATTCTATAATAGTTGTTAATTAGTTACAAATAGTGTTATTACCACTATTTGAATTCTCTATCGATTCTGTTGATTCTTCTATTATATAATTACCATTTTTTTATGATTGGATGCTATTTAAGTATTTATATTTAAAATTGCGTGACAACGTATCTATATAAAATGTAATAGAACTATTCATACCTGTGACACCTGTTTGATTTTTCATAGTGTTGGTCCCGTTGTAATTATTATTTAAATTATATTCTTTAGCTGCTTGTGTATCATTAATATCTCTGTGGTTAATTACAACTTTATGTAAATTATTAGTAGCCGAAGTATTATCATTTAAAATAGCGGTTGCATTATCAATTAATTGATTTTGATCACTTTTATTGTATATGTCATTTAAAATAACTTGAGACCGTTTCTTGCCATTTGTTATATTAGGTGCTATATTATTTTTATTGTTATCTCTAAAAGTGATTATTCTTGAATCTTTTAGATAAGTAATTTTACTATCGCCATCGTCATCATAACTAAATTTTGGTTTAGATATTCTTGGTTTATGATAAATTGTTATATTTTTAACCTTACCAGTTATTCCTTCTGTGGTAGGAACCGCAGTTGTATTTTGCTAGTGACAAAAGTTAAGAAAAACATTATAATCTAGTTAATGTTATTTAAAATTTTAAATATTTTTCTAACTGTTGATTGATTTTTGTTTTATTCAAACTGTTGTTTATAGAAATTTGGGGATTTGAAATGAAGTATGTTATTTACGGATACATTTTTTTTATACAACTATGGTGGCAAACAAGCATACGGCCCATCTGATGGTAAATGGTTACCGTAGCCTATGGACGCCTGAAACACCAGGGGTGTCACGTGCGCGTTGCCGACATTGAGTGCAACAGCAATAGCAACAGCATTAGTTAATCAAGTCTCTACCCTCATACCATAGCAACTGACAACAATGTTCCCAAGTGCTAAATGTAGTTGCACTATATTTGTATGTTTTCACCGATTTAAAAAGGAGTATCTCAGTTTTACTGTACATATATATAATGTACGCTTCATGCGATATCTTAGCAAAAACGAAACAGATTTTGATGGTTATTTTTAATCCTAATAGGGTTTGTGGAACTAACCAAGTTTATTTTGACAATCATTTTTAAGGCTAGTAGGGTTTGTGGACTTATCCAACTTAAAAAAGTAACTCGCGCACGATGCAAGAAGAGGTTTTAAGATTGACGCATCTGTTTGTGGCATTGTATCTCATAAACTAAAGGGCCGATTATGATTCGTTTCTTATTATTAATAAAAACTACTGTGACTGAAAAGCTAGCTTAGGTTCTTAGCTATAATTTATACGGGCGTTAATATATTTAATTTTACACGAATAGTGGATATCACGTTATCACATTACTCCCGTGAGGTATCACGCATGAATGGTAACTCATGTGTTGCCATTCGAGATGAAGAGTTCATGCTTCTTACCCTGTAATTTCACTGCCAAATCTCACCCTACAAACGAAACATATCTTACAAAGCAAGATTCCTACAACTGAGTGTATTGGGGGAAAGAGATTGGTAGTTATTTAAACTGTTGACCCCAATAATGTAGGTGTGTTAGGTTGACTTCCACGTGGTAAACTCTGGGTACTATCATGATAAATTCCTGGTGAATTTGTCACAATGAGCTGTCCTGACCTCATCTTCACCTTATCCTCCACTGGTGCCCCGCCAGCGTAGACCCTTAACGCAGACGGGTGCACCATTCCATAATCCATTAAAATTTAACTTAAAAAAACTGAGTGTATTGGGGGGAAGGGGATTGTTAGTAATGTGGATTGATAACCCCATTGCTAGCAATGTACCATGTCAGGTCGACCTCCACGCGGTTCCCCCTGGAAACCATCGTGTTAAATTCCTGGTGAATTTGCACGATGGGCTAACTGACCTGACCTCATGCTCATCCTATCATCCTCCACTGGTGCCCCGCCAGCGTAAACCGTTAGCGCAGGCGGGTGCACCATTCCATTATCAACCCTAAAAAAAAAAACTGAGTGTATTTTGTAACTTACCGGAGCAGATATTACCACCAAAGGATAAAATAGTGAATAAAGAATATAATAAAAATACATGTTCACAACGACAACAGCCCCGCCTGCCGTACCGATATTTAATAAAATACAAGAAAATATATATTTTCTATAAATACCGTGTAATGTGATTATAACATAGTAGCATAATTGTGTAGTGGTTGATTTAAATTTATTTTATATTGTTAAATTATCTGGAGCATTAACTCATATAGTTGAGTTAGTACTTAGTTGTTAATACTCCGATTACACAGAAGTGTAGCGAGTTCAAATCTGATTAAAACCAAAAAAGTGTCAATTTAAATTGACAGACTCAGTTATGTAGCAGTTCAGTCTTTTACGATCGCGGGTTTGATTCCTCGCACGGTACAAACATTTGTATTCTTTTTTTATATATCTCCCTTTGATGGGGTGATAGACTTGTCATTGAGGGTGCAAATAATTAAACAAAGACAACTATAAAAGAAATGATGTTGATGAAGAGGAACCCGCGACTAACGGTAGTAAAGCGCTATACTAAACCACTAGACCACCGAGTCCGTCAAAGATAATATTCTAACACTGTCTTTAGGCTGAAAAATAAAACTCATTAAAATTATTTTAAACAGTTTTAATAAACAGACTTACATTACTAGTTTGTATAACAATTGCACGTATCACAAGATACAAAAAGAACCAAAAATCATCGAATAACAGATATAAAAAAAACAAATAATTTAATCACGGGGGGACATTGCTCCATTGTAGAAATAATTAAAAAAAAAACAAAAGTTATTTTAGTTTTTAGACCAAAATCAGTCAAAGGAGATCATATTTATTATATCTTATACATATAAATAAAATTGGAGTGTCTGTTTTGTATATTGCAATAACCGATTTTTGGCTATGAATATAAATACGGTACATACACCAAAATTACATTTTTTACAATTTCTGTCTGTCTCTCTGTCAGTATCTATCAGTGCTAACTTAAATAGCATCTAAATGGTACGAATGTACAAAAACATAATACAATTATTCTGAGAATTCTCAACCTTCATTTCATTATCTTATTTAATGCATTACTCGCAGATTATGAAAGGTTTGAAGAATTGCGGACCGATCAATATGCGACATATTACACGTATATCTTTATCAATGACTAACAAATTTTAGTATTTATAATTAATGAATTGAGCAAACCAACTTTTAAAAATGCATCATTTACACATATAATCAGGAAAACCAAGGGTTCCTACCACGTGAAAGGCACCTGACATCAAGCTCATATCATCCTCCACTGGTGCCCCGCCAGCGTAAACCGTTAGCGCATGTGTACCATTCCATTATCACCCACAAAAAAATATGTACACATTTCATATAGACAATTTCTTCAATGGACCCACGTCCCCAAACAACCAAGCCTTGAATTTATTCAAAATTTACAATAATTTATTTATCATCAACTACCTGTATTCCGCTGCATTGCTTATATAAGACAGCATATGTTACTGATAATGTAAGATTACTATAAGTGTAAGAATTTTTAAAATCAGTCCCGCATTTTTATGTTCAAACAAATATACATTACAAAAAAAAAATATAAATCAAATATACAAAAAAAAAATTACAAAATAATATACAAAAAAAATTACTTGTTCCTAATATTAGTACTGATTAATTATTTATAATCTTTCGTTATTTATATTGTTAGCCGGGTCTTAATATAAATATTTTTATAGTAAATACGAAACGTCAAGTGAGGCAAATAATAATCATAAATAACCCTGGACAATAAACACAGCGCCATCTAGTCCCAGAGCTTGTGTTATGTGTACTAGACAACTGATATAAACATTCAGATATTTTATTTTGTAAATACACACATAATATACATAAAAAAACCAAAACCGATACAAACAATCATACTCATGAATACAAATGTTTGCATCGTACGAGGAATCAAACCCGCCACCATCGGCCGTAAAGCGGTGTGTTAAACCGCTACACCACCGAGGGCTACAATACCTTTATTTACCATAATACTATTCATGTTAAGTCCCGGTTAACAATATAGATACTGTATATTATTGTATACATACACTTTCAGTTTAAAAAAATTACATTATATACCCCTTATAATAAATATGAAGTAATTTATATTATATACTTCACTTCAACGTGGAAGGTAGGAGTACCAAGAATTGACTATTTAATTAATTTATTATCACATTACTTAATCATCTAAATATATTAAACTCAAAGGTGACTGACATAGTGATCTATCAGCGCACAGCCCAAACCACTGGACGGATCGGGCTGAAATTTGGCATGCAGGTAGATGTTATGACGTAGGCATCCGCTAAGAAAGGATTTTGATGAATTCTACCCCTAAGGGGATAAAATAGGGGATGAAAGATTGTATGAAACTTTGTCAATTTTAAACCTATCGGGCTGAGACTTTGCATGCATAAAACTACTATGACGTAGGCATCCCCTAAGAAAGAATTTTGATAAATTCCACTCCTAAGGGGATAAATTAACGCCAGCGACGCCGCGGGTAAAAGCTAGTTACATAGTATAAAACAAAGTCACTGTCGCTGTCTGTCCCTATGTATGCTTAAGTCTTTAAAACTAAGTGATAAAGATTGTTACTAATATATTTTTCTATTTTTTGGACATTTTTATAATGTGGCACTAAAATATACACACAACCTTAAACTTTCACCCTTCTACCATCAACCGCTATTTTTAATAGGGGTTGATGGTAGAAGGGCTAGTAACATATTAATCGACAAAATAAATATTAATCACCATATTATGTCTGTACAATTTTTCTAATAAATAAATAAACTGGTTTGTTACATCTCATATACTTTCACAATATTGAAATCATATTAATAGTATCAATTGATAAATCTTAATTATTATGCATATATATGACTATTAATAATTTTTATATATGCCACAATCAGAACTCGAAATAAAAAACACATTTGACTAAGCAATCTAGTCTTTTTAATAACATAACAATAGTCTTGGACAATTCACACAGCGCCATCTAGTCCCAAGTTAAGCAGAGCTTATATTATGGGTACTAGATAATTTACATAAATACATTGATACTTTTTCTTTAAATACATACATAATATACATATAAAACACTCATACCGATACAAACAATCATAATCATGAATACAAATGTCTGTACCGTGCGGGAATCGAACCCGCGACCATCGGAAGTAAGGCGTGCTTTATCACTAGAACAGACCGTCGATTATATAAACTATGTCAGATTCACTGGTACAAAATTCTGTATAGAATTTTTTATAAGTTCATTAATTAACAAAATTTGTACTAAACTCTTCTAAAAGAAGATAATAATTACTTAATACTATATCTATATATATATTTATATATAAATATATATAACTCAAAGGTGACTGATTGACATAGTGATCTATCAACGCACAGCCTAAACCACTGGACGGATCGGGCTGAAATTTGGCATGTAGGTAGATGTTATGACGTAGGCATCCGCTAAGAAAGGATTTTGATTAATTCTATCCCCAAGGGGATAAAATAGGGGATGAAAGTTTGTATGAAACTTTGACAATTTTTATCCGATTGGGCTGAAACTTTGAATGCATAAAGCTACTATGACGTGGGATGCCTACGACATAGTAGCTTTAGAAAAGAAAGAATTTTAATAAATTCCACCCCCAAGGGGATAAATTAACCCGAGCGGGCAAAAGCTGGTCGTTGTATAATACAGAAAATGGCTAACAAACAGTAATAAGGAGTAACTTAGGCTACTTTTATTTTAGAAAAATAAAGGTAAATTCCACACGGACGAAGTCGCGGGTACAGTTAGTCATACATAAAAAAATCGACATATAACGAAAGCTATAAAATATGATAAAAGCTAATTGGCTGATCGCATATAGATAAGAACAAAATATATTATATATATATAACTAAAAAAATGCCTTAGTGATTTCGAGTTAAAAACCTAGGTTCTGATCGTGACAATACATACTAATCAACATTTGGTACCCTTACCCTACACGGTGAGGTTTAAGAAACAACATTACAGCCGAATATCTCGATCCAGTATCCATCTGGATCCTGTATGAACGCCAGCCCTTTCATTTTTCCATCCTGTGGTCGCTTGATGAATTTCACTCCTAGCTGTTCAAACCTGTAAACAGTAATTTATCATTTGACGACCTCGGTGGTCTAGCTAAACCGCTAATGAGTGGTAGAATAAAAAATATGACTATTTAAAAGTGCTTGTCTTGAGTTTTTTTTTTATTTGAATAAACATTATTATTTCTTTATAATATATGTTAGATTATTTCTATTTCTACATGTTCATGTCTATAAGCCATGGGTACTGATTACCGTCAGGTTGTTAGATTGTCTCATATGCAATTATATAAAAAAAAGTAGATAGGTACCTGGCACATGCTGCTTCAACATCAGGTACCAGGATACCGATGTGCCCAAAGCCTCTCGGATCTGTGTTACCGTTGTGGTAGCTAGACTCGTCACTTTCTGTACCCCAATTGCTGGAATAATTAAAATTTAATTTCTTTAAATTAATTATTGCTTGCGATTGCAAATAGCCATATAAAACATATAAAAATCATTACATAACATAAAACAAAGTCGCTGTCGCTGTCTGTCCGTCCCTATGTATGCTTAAATGTTTAAAACTACGCAACGGATTTTGTTGCGGTTTTTTTAAATAGATAGAGTGATTCAAGAGGAAGGTTTATATGTATAATACATGTACACCCGTACGAAGAAAGTCCGAAAGTCCCTATGTATATTCGGACTTTCTTCGCTTAAATCTTTAAAACTAGATTTAAGCATACATACGGACGGACAGACAGCAACAGCGACCTTATTTTATACTATGTAATGATTTATATCTGTCACAGTTATCAGAGCAGACCAGTCCCAGCTAGTACTTACTATGTCAGTTCAAGGCTTCCTTTCCGCGTCATGGCCCACATTCTCCTCGTCAGCTTGTCGGATGGCACTTCAGCCGGGTTCTCATACCCCATAAAGAATAACGAGAACTTCATCTCTGGAAAATGTAGCTGATTCAACAGTGTCATGCCCAGCACGCCCGTGTAGAACGGAATCGACTTCCGTGGGTCTTTGATGCGGTACATTGTTTGTTGGAAAATGAAGTCCTGAAATTTATTAGATTATTGATTTAATAAAAGATGGTCGTCTTCCGGACTAAAATGATGATGATGATGATGATGATGTTTATGATGATGATGATGTTGTTGATGATGATGATGAAAAGATGGTTAGCTATCTATCTATTTATCTAATAGTCATCTTTCCCCACGGATTGGGGTTTTATTCGAGAGATGAGAAAGGGGAAACGAGGGTGACAGAATAAGATCTGGGTGGATGATATAGGGGCAGTGACTGGGCTAACATGGGGAAGGAAAGTGTTGGACTGAGAAACATGTATTCTGTTTGAGAAGCTGTACAAGCTGATGAACTGAGGCACTAAAGTAAAAATAAACTAGAACAAAATTAACTTGTCAATCGGAATAACAGCTATAAATAAATAAAAGATTATTTTTTTTATTAGGTCTACAAAACTGGATGTCTTATAGAAAACAATGTTACATTAATAAAATAAACTATTTAAGATGTACTATATAACTAGATATACATACAGCCTGTATTGCTTTATTTTTATTGCTAACCGTGTCTTAACATAAATACTTTTATGGTAAATAAATTACCTTAAATACCCTTTAAATTATACCTATATTTACCATAAAATTATTTATGTTAATGACAGCCACGGGTTAAATACTTACCATGGTGCAAGCATTTGTATTTGGGAATATGATTGTTTGTATAGATCTGGGTGTTTTGTAAGTACATTATGTATTTACAAAAAAAAATGTATTAGTAGTCTAGAACTCATTGCAAGCTCTCCTTAGCTTGGGACTACATGATGCTGTGTGAATTGAACTGAGATATTATAAATCTATACAAATGCCGAATAATGTGCCTAGATCTTAATTTAGGGGTCTTATAACAATGTACCAAGTTAGAACAACCTCCATACTGACACCCTGCAAACTTTTATGGTTACTCCAGGATCATAACCCAGCCAATGGTACACCCATCTGCACTAAAGGTATATGACATACAGATGGGTGCACCATTCCATTAATATCCTTAAAAATAATAAGATAAATACCTTTGTCCCTGGATGAGGGGTTTGACACAGGGCTTCCACTTCCTCAGGAGAGATACCTTCACCACTCATTGTACTGCAACATTAAATATTTTGTCTTTAATAATATTCAATGCCTAGAATATACTAAAAACATTATGAATATAGGAGAAGTGAGAGGTTGGACACATACAGTAATAAGCCAGAACAAATAACAAGAGGTGTACCACAAGGATACATTCTGGGACCTATTTTGTTACTAAATTTTACTAATGCTTTGATATTAATGAAGAAACTTGTTCCTGCTATAGAAGTAATAAATAACACTGTTGTATAATAATTGTGTGTCTTTTATTGTCACCCTCAATATAACTTTTTACCAAAAAAGTCAAATATGTAGGGTACTTAAATATAACATTCTGTAACTCAATTTACAAGCATTCATCAAACTAATGATTTGATATTGATAGTGTTTCATATCCATTAATAATAGATACTAATATTACTAATATTAACTTCAGACTGTGTGTAATGAATATAAAGATAAATTACGAACTGAATACTTTTAATGTGAGGTTTAGTACAAATAATTTAAATTTACATCCAGCAATAACAAAAACTGTTTTATTCAAAATGACAATGAAGCAAGCAATATATGATATATAATTAAATGGTGCTCAAAGACATACAACTTAAAATGTTAACTCATAGATACATTACATACATATCATTAGATGTTTTGATGAATATTTAAATTGGGAAAAGTTAAATCGATTTAATTTAAAAGACCTTTGATGAAATACATGATGTATTTCAATATGAAAGTAAAGTATGATGAAATTAATTTAAATCAAGATAATATATTTTTTTTAGCTTTCATTATACAAAGAAAAGAGTAATGCACAGAATGATATATATACTGCCTTGGGAATGTTGCAAAATATAGTTTGGCAAGCGAGAAATCTATACATCTCTACATATAAATAAAATTGGAGTGTCTGATTGTAATATTGAAATAACCATTTTTTAGTACATGCATATGAATATAAATATGGTTAATATCTGAAATGGCTGGGCCGATTTTGACGGGCACTTTTTTTGGCAGGTAGATGATGTAATAAGGAGTAACTTAGGCTACTTTTATTTTAGAAAAATAAAGTTTAATTCCACGCGGATGAAGTCGCGGGAACAGATAGTTTTATATAATTTTTATTAAAGAATACAAGAAAACTTTAAATATTTTGATTTTAATGTTTTTTGGCAGGTAGATAATGTAATAAGGTATTCCTTAAAAAAAAGTAAACTTAGACTACATTTATTTTTGAAAAATAAAGTTAAATTCTATGCTGATGAGGTCGCGGGAACAGCTAGTTTTCACTGTTAGTCTAGTAGCACTGCCATGTGGGAGAATACAAAAAGATAACATTTTGGGACTTATTTATTTCCTTATTTTAATGCAGTGGAGCACTGCTCACATTACCAACCTGTAAATATTTAAAAGACATTTAAAAGAAATAAATTGCATTTTTGCCGTTTTTTTTTCGATGCAAATGTATAGATATAAAGTAGACTTGAGCGACCATTTTTCAAGACTTTTTTTTATTAAAAATTATAATATCTAGATTCTAGGCCCTAAACAATTCAACATTATTTTTCTACTATCTATAACACTATGCAGGACCCCTAGACTCTAGGGATCGTGAATAGAGTAGAAATAATAGTAGAAAACAAAAATTGTTAACACAAATTAGTGAGAAAATATGTATAAATCTCACAAGACCTGTGGCTTGCGGTTATCAGCTGGACTTTTGCACTGTACACTATTCTATATACCTTGTAAGCAGACTGCTATGAAGCTTTTATAAATGATCTCACAAAATATTAGAATAATTATCTTATTATTTATAAACTTTTATTTAACAACCGAAGTTTAATGTTATTTCTTTTTACTAAATATAATTTATTTCAATATTTTCATCACGTTTTATGGAAAAAATTATGTAGACTGATAAACTGACGGAGAAGTAACATATTAATACTGACAAACACGTGACTGATATGAGTGACATTTCTTTGCTTAGCAATGTATGTTTTGATCATTTCAATGCTTATTATTTTTTAAATATTTGTCCAGAACCATAACTTTTAAATATAATTAATTTTACGTTTATGGATATAAATATAATATTTTTTTTTGTTTTCGTACAGCGCCATCTAGTAGCAGTACTTTGAAACAAAATGGCGTTATCTTAAATTCAAGTTTCAGTCCATGGAAATTAATATAGTAAAGTTTTTCTGATTGTATTATTAATTTAATTTCTGGTCTATATTAATTAAGGCAGCTACCTGAACTAGGCAGTAAATGGCTGATAGTGTTGTAAATATAATAAAATATAATATATAAAAAAAAGTGGGCAAAAAAGTTCTAAATAAGTCTTATATTAAATTAAATAAGTCTTATATATTTTAGGTAGTAGGGAACAAATTAAACACTTATTTTTTTATATTATTTAATGGCGCTATTAGGTATTAATCAATAGTGTGGAGATTTTTTAAAACCATTTTATGGTTTTATCAAATAACCCTTGAAAATTGATTAATAAATTTAAAACAATTTAGGTTTTTAATCTTACATACATAGCTAATAATAGTTATTGAGTAATTTGAAAGTGTGAATACATTAGAATGAAACAAGATAATTGAAATAAATTTCTTCCTGAAATAATTAAATACTAATAGAATTGAAGTTTTTTATATAAACTTATAAGTGCAATTTTATAGCTTCACTTACTGAATAATAACCACTAAACCAAATTTAAAAATATTTAATTTACAATTACATTTTTAAGTAAATTTTAATTAAATTGAATTGAAGTTTTTTATATAACTTTATAAGAGTAATCCCACTGCTTCAGGTACTGAATAACAAACAACTATACTACTTAATTTAAAAATATTTAATTTTTAATTTGGAACATATTTATTTAAATTTTAATTATAAATAATCAGTATCATTTTATTATGAATTTTAATTAATTTAGTCTAGGTACAAGAATCAGTTTTTTATTTTCTATTCTGTAGATAAAATTTGTCATACAGATATCTAAGTTCCTCCATCCAAACTATATCATACGCTGCCGAGGTTATATTACATTCATACGCAGATATCATTCTCACACCTTTAGAACTATCCACAAAAATATCCCCGACAACACTCAAAAAGGATCCTTCTTCGAAACCCATAGATTTCTTTTTGTTTCTAATTCTATCCATCAATTCTGACATTATGGTTATATTATGATGGCCAAATTTGGATGCATCAATGTAATTATTTGTTAATACATTCCAATTACTTGGTGAAATACTATTGTTGTTTTTGGTGCTGTCGTAATAAATTTGTATAGTGCCAGTGGCATCACTTAGTTCTACATTTGTTGTTGAACTTGTAGTGTTGTATAGAGCGCTAACAACACCATGAATCATTACATTTTTAAATTTCGAACCGAATAATTCGTATATATATTTGTTGTCTGTGGAAGCAGCACGGAATATGTCTTGTATATATAATTTAAGAGGGATTTTTTGTACGTTATTATTCGGTTGATTTGTCATTTTCTTAAAAACTATAACTCGTTCTATATTCACTTTTTACTAATTTCAAAGTTTCTGTATTTTTTAAAGATGTGTATTAAATGTGAGAATTGACGTAGACGTTAAAAAACGTAGACTAGACGTATTATCATTTTTTTAACTGAGCACAACACAAACACAAGAAAATTAATAATTTTTTAATGTTATTTTTAATAACTAACTTATCACAATCCAAGAAAAAACAAGTGTCTGTCAATCACTATCAGTCTCATAAACTGTCATAAAGACAGCTCTACCGTTTTGGCTGTGTGGGTTTGCTTAAATAAAACTATGTAACATTATCTTATCTGTGATAAAACTAAAAAAAAACAAATCAGTAATCTGAGATGAAACAATTGCCTGCAATGCATTAATAACATAACTCTTAGATCATGGAGGGTTATACTTGGCTGTATAGGCGTCTTTCCTTTATAAGGATAACCAGAACAAAAAAAAAACAAAAACGAGGTCTTACATACTGAAATATTTAATCATACTGCATATCAGTTTGGAATTAATGCTCGAAAGTATGATGGAAGTAATTATATTAAATCTTTCATATTGTAAAATATTGTTCAAAAAGTCGCCATTTAATTTAAATAAACATTGTTTACATTGTCATCTAGTGACGTCTTTTGTAACTAAATGGTCCTTGACATATACAGTCAAATTTACGATAAAGTGCCCTCTAGTGTAATATTTCGTAATTAAAAAGTAATGAACACTTAGGTAAGCCATTTGACGAGAGAGGGCGCTGTATACAAATAGGGTCTAACAAAATTATATTTACGTCCTGTATTACGTAATTTAATCCTGGTAAAGAGCAAAGTTCAAACACACGAGTAAGCAAATATATTGCTTCAAAACGGCAAAACTCGATGTTGTTACACATAAAAAACACAATAGCTATTTCAAAACCATAAAATTACAATGTCTCTAGTAAAATTTATCCTACACAAAATAAAATCTGATTTTATTATGTATCTTTGAAACGGGAAAATACATAAAATAAGACATAATTATTCGTAAGAAGACTGAAATAAAAGACGCACTTCAACATAGCTTAATAAAGAAATGGAAATGGGCTGGTCTTATGGATGATAATTGAATGGTGCAACCCCTCGTGTTAGCGGTTTACTGGCGGGTTACCAGTGGAGGACGATAAGCCAGTTGTGATCAAATTGACATGGTACATTGCTAACATCCCTTTCCCCCCAATTGGGTTGGTCGCGTAACTAGATACAGAGATAAAAGATCTTCCATATAACCTTTCACCTCCCCTTTCAACCTATTGCAACCCTTTTTTCGCATTAAAAAGTAACCTATGTAAGGTTTCAGGATATAGATTATCTGGGTACCAAATTTCATTTAAATCGGTTCAGTAGATTCGGCGTGAAAGCGAGACAGACAGACAGTTACTTTCGCATTTGTAATATTAGTAAGGAAGAAAGGATTAAATTTGAAATATATATTTAAAATTCCTCATTCTTTATATATGTAATTACAATTTTTAAGTATATACTTCAAAATTGTAAGTGTATAAAAAAAAGCTTAAAGAAATAAACACTTGAAATGACGTATGATGTGAGATAATACATTTTTTTAATGGATGGAGACGACCAAAAAATTTTTGATGTAGAAACATTTTTTTGCTGTCTACTACAGCAATAAAAATTTTTACGTCTATATAAAAGTCTAATAAATAAGTCAATAAATAAAGTCGTATTTCAATCTAGGAAATGTAATTTAGTAGACCAATAATGTAGAATAGAATAGAAAATTCTTAATTCAAAGCAACTTACATTTAAGCACTTTTGAATAGTCATATTTTTTTTTATCTACTGCTCATTCTGAAAGCTGTCTCATCACAAGAAGAACGAGCAAGAAACTAACGTGTTACTCTTTTAAATAATTTAGTTGCAACTTTACATCTTTAAGTTGAAATGTGTAAATGTCCATGCCATTTAAGTTTGATTGTATTTCAACTCTGTCCTCCCTGCAAGTGACTCGGTGTGAAGATGAATAAGTAGTCAATGCAAAATTATGGATTTCAAATGAATTCCCTTTGTCCGCCAATAGGCAATTTGGTTAGGTTTGTTCAAAAGGCAAAATCTATTGATTCCCATTTTGGGGTACCGTTGTGAGCGGGGCGCGGAGGAATTTTACCGCCTGCTCATCCATTATTATCCGTTTCATCCATTCTACCCATAATTTACAATAATTTACTCCAATTGAAACGGAGGACCCTGGAATGAAAACTAATATTTTGCTGGGGATTTTTTCATGAAATTAAGCTAACAATTTTGTTACGATATTTCACTGGTTCGTATTGACGCAAAGTTTCCTGGAATGAAAGGGAAAATATTTACTTTTATTAACAATTGGCAATTATTCTCGTCTTTCTTGACGGTCTTGGTTGTAAGCGGTATAGCACATCGTTTAACTACTGAAGGTCGCGGGTTTGATTCCTTACTCCTTGTACAAACATTTTTATTCATGAGTATTATTGTTTGTAAAGATTTGTATGTTTTCTATGTATATTTAGTATGGATTAAAAAAAAATCTAAGTATTATATCAGTTATTTAATACCCACAACACAAGCTCTGTTTACCGTGGGACTAGATGGCGCTGTTATGGGTAACTCATACAAACATTTAGATTTTTGGAAATACATACTTAATATACATAGAAAACACGCAGTCGAACACAAATAATCATACTAATGAATATAAATGTTTACAGGCATCAAACCCGCGACAATCGAAAGCGAAGCAGCGTTCTTAACCGCCAGACCATCGAGGCTATTTAAAAGTGGGTCACAGCATTAGGTACTGAAATATTTTAATAAATAATGCTTACTTTCATATTTGTACCTCCGTAAATCAAGTTTCGTACTTCATATTTCACTTACAAAACACACATTCTATGGGTCGTCTGGTGAATTTCAGCGAATCGAGAGTTTGAAAACTTTTCAGGCACGTGTAACGGCGTTTACTTGTCAAATCATTTCTGAAATCATTTATCTCCTTAATTCTATTTATGGATTATTAATTCAAGACTACTTGTGAAGAAGCTTGTGTGTTGTCTGTTCAGATTGCGAACACTGATCAGATTTTTTGTTTTTTGTAATATCATATGCTGGTGGTCTCTATTCTCCCAAATTTGAATTTAAATGAATCTGTATTTTTGTAAGTATGTACAACATTTATTTAAAAAAAGAATACGAGATGAGTTTCTCATCAGTTCTTCTCATCTCGAAATCATTCCGATTCCGCATGGCAATAGTTGTTCATGCACGGGATTTTAATTTAAATGTTAGACATAGACACTTATGTGCATATACATTGTAAATAAACTGGCTTTTAAAAAAAGGAATTCAATTAAAATAATAAAATAAGATACGTCACAGCTCGAAATCATTCCGAACTGACGGTAGATTTGACATATCACAAGAGTCTGTACATGAATAAATATATTTTGAATTTTGAATTTTTGAATTGCTTTCAGCGATAAGGCCGCCTTTTGTTAGCATACTTCTTATGTATTTTTTTATACACAATAAAGAGTGTATATTATTACTAGCTGACCCGCGTACATTCGTCTGCGTTTCATGTTTTTTGCAACATTTTTCATTGCAGCTCCGCTCCTATTGGTCGTAGCGTAATGTTATATAGCTCAAAGCCTTCCTCGACAAAGACTATCCAACACAAAAATAATTTTTCAATTCGAACCAGTCGTTACTGAGATTAGTGCGTACAAACAAACAAACATACTCTTCAGCTTTATAATGTTAGTATAGATTATTATAAATTAAAAAAAAATCTTTATTTCTCCAAAATATTTAAAATTAGCTTAGCTGTCCCAGCAATAGCTGTTTTGGTATATAAATTAATATCGCTATTAGAAAATAGGGGTTGATGGTAGAAGGGTGAAAAGTTGGCGTTGTATGTATTATTTAATGCCATTAAAAAAAGTAAAAATAAATGGTGAATAAATGTTTTTATTAATTATTTATAATAATGTCTTTATTTATATATTTTTTTTATACTACGATGGTGGCAAACGAACAAAGGGTCCCCATTTGACAAAACTGTTGTAAGGGTTTAAAAAAGGAGATGAAGGGTTGTATGGAAGATTCATCATTTTTAAAGGTCTAAACTTGAAACCTTGTATTTATTTTATTGATTAAATGTAAATAAATATTACATTCAAAGTTTGTAAAAATGTTACCCTAAGGTAAAATAAAATAGGGGATGATATTCGTCATTTTTGAAGATAGAACATGATACCACAGATAATATAATATTACATAATGATACTATTATCTGTGGTTTTTTTGTTTTACATTATTGAATATTTTTTATTTATTTGGTCAAGGTGCTTAAATATTACACGCAACAAAGTCACGGGTACAGCTCATAAATAATAAAAAAACTTGCGTAAATAAATTTAAATTTACGTGAAAGTTAACCTATGTACCGTTTATAAACAAACCTTACGTTTAAAATACACAAAAGGCATGTAGAATAAATATCAGCATTGCAAATAATATACCTAATCTAACAGTATTAGGTATAGGTGCCTACGTGTATTTGATAAATAAACACAGTACTTTACATGATACGGTAACGTTTTTACCTTAAATTATGTGCATAACTTAACTACCTTAACGCTATGTTTTTTAATGGGCAGACAGAGAACATATAGAACGGAACGGAATAGAACATAATAGAATAGAATGGAAAATCATTTATTCAAATAAACTTACATTGCAGCAGTTCTGAATAGTCATCACTTATTTTTTTTTAACGTACCGCTCATTCATAAAGCTGTCTAATCACAAGAAGAATGAGCAAGAATCTTCTTCAGTTCTTCAAAATATTCTGCACTCACCCCCTATCGTCCGGTGAAGTTGTAAAGGCCAGCTGTGGCCAACAGCATAAGAGTGGTCCGAAAAAAAATTTTCGGAAATCTTTTAAATAATAATTGTTGTAACTTTCCATTTTTAAGTTTAAATATGTGAATATAAACTACCAACTAGCACTATTCCATTAGAGAATTTATTGGTAATCGTTTCTATCCGTTTTTTATGTATCCATTTCTAAATGAAAGAAGCTAACGGCCTATTTGGTGGTAAGTGGTAACCGAAGTCTAAGTACATGAACAGCGCTACGGACATCACGTTATCATCCGTGATAGCACTCATGTATTTCCAACTAGAAGAATATTTCATGCCCCTTATCCTGTAATTTCTGCTGTCCCCATTGCTACCAAAATTCCATGTCAGTTTCACCGTCACGCGGGTCTGAAAGCATCATGATAAGTTCTTCGTGAATTCGTCAGGATGGTCTAACTGATTTAACCTCATACTCATCTAATCGTACTTCACTGGTGCCTCGCCAGCGTAAACCGTTAGCGCAGGTGGCAGCACCGTTCCATTATCATCGACCACCATCATCATCACCATTCCATTATTACCGACAATCGAAACATATCTTACACAGCAAGCTGTTTGGACGTCTCATTTAATCGACCTCCACGCGGACCTCTAAGAAAACGAAAGTTATTAATTTCTTCTAATTTAGAACCCTGATAATTTAGGATTCACGTAGCAATTTTTTATATCTTATGGGTATTAAACAACTGACACAAATACATACATAAAAAACACCCAGAGCAATACAAAAAATCATACTCATGAATTCATCATTCTAGAAATCGAACCTGCTACCATCTGATGTAAGGGTTGTGCGTACTATTAGTGTAGTATAATTGGTATAGACTACAGGCGATTCTGCGGTTTTTAATTAGCACACTGTAGACTTTTAATGTTTATTCTTATCATTAACTCTTATCAAATAGCTATACTATAAGTATATAAAACTAGGTTTAGGAAGTAATTAGTTTTATTGAAAAAAAAATACCAGTTAGTTTCTTGTTCAGTGTGAACTAGACATATTGTCAAACCCCCTTCTCGTCAATATAAAGCTACTTATTGATTCTCCAGAAACGAACCACCATGGACGCAGCTACAGCAGTAATTCAGATCAGGACAATGCAGTTAGCACTTTTGGGTTTAGCGATTACATTTTCTGTAACATCTGTATTGTGGCCCAGTGAAACACCAGTTAAAGGTTAGTAAGCATCCATTTATTCTCTAGCAGATTGATTACAGACTGTGGTAGTAGGTAGTAGATTTGTATCTAAACAGCACTCAGGCTTCTATTAGATTTGTTTGGTCGGAGAAACACGAGCTCGTGAAGGCGAGTGTTTACGTCGGCAAGGTCCCTTAAAGCTACACCCTTGTCACAAGTCCCGGGAACTGTTCTGAGTTTCCCTCTCTACCACACGATGGACTAGTACCTGCACGGTGAATCCAATAAATGCTAAGAAATACCTCTACTACCACAGTCTGCAATTTTGTAAAGTGCGTGGAATTGTGAAAAGACTCGTACATTAATATTATTTTATAGTTTTGTATCTCATATAATATTCATTTAGTTGGAATAAGCATACAAACTGATATTTAAGAAACTTCTCATGTGTAAGAGACAGAAATAATCTTTATTATAATAAATTTAATATTAGTAATATTACTAGACTGTAGCAGTTTGTAGTAAAACCTTATGCAATTCGCGTAGAATAAGTTACTGATCTTAGCAATTAAAAAAAAAATTACTTATTTCTTTCTAGTGCAATCTTTTTTGGAACTGTTAATGTATTTCCTTGTATATTGACTGAGTTAATATTAATACAATGAGTGAAAGGTCCAAGATGAATTTTAGAAGAAATATTGCTAGCAATGAACATATAAATATCTGTAGTAAAATGATGACGTAAATGAATGTAAAGATCCTGTTTCATAAATAGTAGCAGATGAGCAATATGCTTTACCTTGATAATGTAATAAAGGTAATTTATTTACAGATGGAGATAGTTTTGACTTTATCGTAATAGGTGTAGGTACAGCAGGCAGCGTGCTGGTGAATCGGCTGACTGAGAATGGAAAGTACACAGTACTTGGTATAGAGGCTGGTGTAGATCCACCACTAGAGTCTGTTGTAAGTGTAACTTTAATCCAACTTAAACAAGGTTTCAAATAAATTTATCTTTGAATTTATTAACTCTGCATGTGACATTCTACACTATAGCTTTGGAACTTATATTAAATTTTAAGAAATATTTATTTGATTATCTTCTTGTAGTACATCATGAAATAATTATATGTGTGTATTGTATCTGTATGTATATTTTATTATAATTAACATTATTTTCCTTGTTGACTATATCATTAGTTTTACCTTATTCCTGTTTGCATGTCACTTACCATCTCTTACATTTGTACCCGTTACTTTAATGTTGCCTTGAAAAACTTGCTTTTAGCAATAAAACAGCCTTGTAGTGTTTATGTTTAGTTTAATCATTAATCATTGTACCTATTTCCTATCATTCTATAATGCAAATAAAGCATATTTTGTCTATCTATCTAACAAATAAATTCATAGTTTACTTACATACAGTATCATAGCTACAACTGATGATTATTTGTCGTCGTTATTTGATTTAGCTTTTATTCATTCAAATTTGTTTTCTTTTTAGCTACCAGCATTATTTCAGTTTCTACCATTCTCGAAATATGACTGGAATTATACATCTGAAGACAACGGTTATTTTGCACAAACTCATGTAAACAAGAACTTGGAATTGACAAGTGGAAAGATGCTTGGTGGGTCTAGTTCTCTTAACCATGAAGTATATTGCAGAGGATACCCAAATGACTTTGATGTTTGGGCTGATATAGCAAAAGATCAGACATGGACTTATGATAATTGTTTACCATATTTCAAGAAAAGTGAAAAGTTAGAAGATTCCGCCATTTTAAATTCCCCTTATAAAGATCGCCATGGACTCAACGGTACTGTTGGAACTTCCAGAGAACCATACAATGTTACAAATAAATATTTAGACGCTTTCAAAGAAGTTGGGTACGATATTCTTTTAGATACAACTGAAAGTCTCGGTTACTCGGAAATTTTATACACAATTTCAAATGGAATTAGACAAAGTACAGCCTTTTCATATTTGTTTCCTATCAGAAGTGGACGGACGAATTTATCTTTGTTAAAACAATCTTTAGTAACTAAAATCCTATTTGATGATGAAAGGAATGCTGTTGGTGTTAATGTTGCCATTGAAGATAAACTGATAACATTAAGAGCTAGAAAAGAGATTATTGTTGCTGCTGGCGTATTTAATAGTCCAAAATTGCTGATGCTATCAGGGATTGGTCCCAAAGAAGATTTAGAGAAATTTAATATAAACGTTATATCAGATTTACCTGTGGGGTCGAACTTACAAGATCACGCAGCTGTTCCTATAATTTATAGAACGGGAACGCATGTTGAATCATCTACTTCTATACCACCTAATCCTTTTAAGTTTCCTCTTCCAGGTATAGTTGGTAACATAGCCCTTAACAAATCCCAAAGTTACCCAGATTACCAATCCTTTGGCTTCATTTTTCAAGATCCTAATAGTCTTATACAGATTTGTTCCTTTGTGTTTACCTATAATAACGATATTTGCAATACTTTATATAAAGCAGCCGAAAGCAGAGAAATTCTGTTCAACTTACCCAATATTCTCCATCCTAAATCTCGTGGAACAGTAAAGTTACGTACTACCAATCCATATGACTCTCCAGTAATAGATATAGGATTTTTCTCTGATAAGGAAGATTTAGAAAACATGTTGTTATACATAGAAGATTTATTGCAGATAGAGAATACCACTTTATTTAAAGAAGTAAGAGCAGAGTTAGTAGATCTCAATTTGGAAGTTTGCTCTCAATATGAATTTAGAAGTAGAGATTATTGGAGATGTTATATACCCAATATGGTGGTATCTCTCTTCCATTACACCAGTACATGTGCATTGGGATCTGTTTTGGATGCTGAATTGAATGTGCTTGGTGTTAATAGATTGAGAGTTGTCGATGCTAGTTCCATGCCGATTATAACTAGAGGTAATCCGGTTGCTCCGGTTACAATGCTAGCAGAGAAAGCAGCTAGCATATTGACGCAGAAATATTGTTGAGTAGCATCTACATCAGAATAAAATAACGTAAAACTGCTAAAGGGGTTTTATTGATTCTGTTTTATTTTTACACTTAGATTGTGCAATGAACTTCCTGCCGAGGTTTTCCTACGAGACTACAGCATGGGGCTTTTCAAGAAGGGTATATTAAGGTTTCTTAAGGGTCGGCAACGCGCAAGTGATACCCCTGGTGTTTCAGGCGTTCATAGGCTACGGTAACCATTTACCATTAGATGGGCCGTATGCTTGATTGCCACCATAGTAGTATAAAAAAAAGTATTAAAACTAGTTTGTAGACATTTTATTAGATAAACAGAGGATATCTTCAATCTTGGAATACTTTTCTCTAAAACATATTTATTTCAAATTTTGTTCAAAAGCGTTCACATATCAAGCCAAATAACAAAGTTTCTCATTTACACGACACATTACATTTGACGACCTCGGTGGTCCAGCGGTCTAGTACACCGCTTTACGACCGATGGTCTTAAGTTCGATTAAAACTACGCAACGGCGCAAACATTTGTATTCATGAGTATGATTGTTTGTATCGATCTGGGTGTTTTCTATATATAATATGTATGTATTTTAAAAAAAAATTATATTTGTATGTATTTGTATCAGTTATCTAGTACCCATAACACAAGCTTTAGCTAGCTTAACTTGGGTCTAGATGGCGCTGTGTGAATTGTCCTTTTAAATAAGATTATTACTTTTTTTTTTTCCCAAAAGTGTGTCATCTCCCCTCTTAAGGAGAGGAGATGGCAATATACCCCCGGAAAAAATAGAATATATCGGCCGGGGTTCAATTAATAAGGGACAGAAACCGGCGTACAATGCGGGCAGAATCTAACAGCACCGCTTTCTGCATCTTGCCCGGGAGTGAACCGCCCCGGAATCCCAACCGTCTGAGATGTTGTTCCAGACTGGTTGGGATAAGACCGTTCACCGACATAACGATTGGAATGATTTCGGTGGACATCCCCCCCACCATTTCGGTCACCTCGTGAGCCAGGTTGAGATACTTTCTCTTTTTCTCAGTTTCGGCTTTCACGAGGTTCTCGTCATGCGGTATGGTGATGTCCACCAAAAATCAGCAATGGAAAAATTATAACGTTGATCCATCACCACGATATCAGGTTTGTTCGCAAGAACGGTCCTGTCCGTGATGATGGATCGGTCCCATTGTTTAATAGAGATTTGACGCTGCCGCTCTTCGAGGACCGGATGGGGCTCGTACTTATAGTACGGCAACCTCTCATTCGCTTTGTGAGGCCGTACTTCAGAGCTTAGTTCTTGATGGAGTATTTTGGCTACCTGGTTGTGTCTGTGCATGTACTCAGTGTTGGCAAGATTGTGAACAACCGAAAGCACATGTCTGAGTGACTCTCCGGGATGGCGACATGCCTCGACAGATGTCCTCAGTGCCATCTCTTCAGAATGTGCTTATAGTATTTATATCGTCTTAACCACCTGATCCTGTATTGCACAGACAAAACCCTCGGTCTCTCCGAAGAGATCACCGAACTGTAGCCAGTGCACGGAGGTCTTCGTGTTGACGTACGGCCCGTGAAGGGCTTTGAAGAACCTTCCGTGCAACTCCTTCTCTTTCCACATGGTCTCCCGCTGATTTAGGTCTTACCCAGGACTTAAATTTTCGCCAGTCCTCTTTAGCCAGAGAAAGAGGGGTGAATCCTTTGTCACATTCTATGACCTCTCTATGCAAACCCTCGTCTCTTTTCTCCAGAAAATATGTAATAATAGATTATTATTATTATTATTATTATTATTACAATTACATACACAGCGACAGCGACTTTATTTTGTATAAAACAAAGTCGCTGTCGCTGTCTGTCCCTATGTATGCTTAAGTCTTTAAAACTACGCAACGGATTTTAAAGCGGTTTTTTTAATAGATAGAGTGATTCAAGAGGAAGGTTTGTATGTATAATACATGTACACCCGGGCGAAGCCGGGCCGAATAGCTAGTTATTTATAAAAAGAAGAAAATCAGGAAACATTTGTACAGAAAATGACGAAAATCATGTTCACTATAGATAACTGTAATCAATATATATTGTTTTGTACCTTTAATTTGGACTATTATCCTAATTTGAAACATGACACTCCAATAGAGTTAATGGGTTTTATTTGAAACTAGCTGTACCCACGACTTCGTCCGCGTGGAATTTATTTTCCTAAAATAAAAGTATCCTAAGTTACACCTTATTACATCAGTTACCGTAAAAAAAAGTCCCGTCAAAATCGATCTAGCCATTTCAGAGAGTAGCCGGAACAAACAGTCAGACAAACAGACAAAAATTTAAAAAAATGTTATTTTGGTGTATATACCGTATTTATATTCATATGCATGTAGTAAAAAACGTTTATTTCAATTTTACAAACAGATGCTCCAATTTTATTTATATTTATATATATAGATGTAATTTACCTTCTGTTCTAATATTAATCAGATTAAATTACTTTAACTAGGTACAGAATTGGATTACTCAAACAATTAATCAATTAGTTAAAGATCATATAAATTCATCAGCAAGACAAAACATCCAAAGAAATAAAGTGGAGGTAGAAATAAATAAATAAATACAGGATATGCTGTAAAATATTAATTAATGATAGGGGAATGGTGCACCCGCCTGCTCTAATGGTTTACGCTGGCGGGGCACCAGTGGAAGATGATAAGATGGGCATCATCATCATCATCATCTCAGCCCGGAAGACGTCTACTGCTGAACATAGGCCTCCCCCAAAGATCTCCAAGACGATCGGTCCTGCGCTGCTCGCATCCAACGCCTTCCAGCGATCTTGACCAGATCGTCGGTCCACCTTGCTGGAGGCCTTCTTACTGCGTCTTCCTGTCCATGGGCGACTCTCGAGGACTTTATTGCTCCAACGGCCATGTGTGCTACGAGCTATGTGCCCTGCCCATTGCCACTTCAGTGTCGCAATTCTTCGGGCTATGTTGGTCACTCTGGTTCTTCTTTACTCATGATAAGATGGACATGAAGTTCACTAATTATTCACGATGGGTACCAGGGGTGACCGCGTGGAGGTTAAACCGACATGGTACACAGTAACAACCCCCTCTCTCCTCTTACGGTTATTTAGCGACCTTCATATGAAATGAAATGGTGTTTATTCAATAGATACTTAGAAATACGACACTCCTAACAGAAAAAAAACAATAAACCGTACACAAAACACATAAAGTACAAGAATAAACAGAAAAGAAAACAATTATAAAAAAGAAATGTACCATAATATTTATACTATTAATAAATTATCTATACATATAAATAAAATTGGAGTGTCTGTTTGTAATATTGAAATAACCGTTTTTTACTACATGCCTATGAATATAAATACGATACATACACCAAAATAACACTTTTTGCAATTTTTGTCTGTCTGTCTGTTTCTTTGTTCCGGCTGATCTCTGAAATGGCTGGATCGATTTATATGGAACTTTTTTCGCAGGCAGCTGATGTAATAAGGAGTAACTATTCTATTCTATTCTTTTCTAATAAACATGTAAGGTTTTGTATTATATTAATCTGAAACTCATGTTTCTATTATTGTCAACTGTCAATAAAGTGGTTTTTTTTATGGATGATAATGGAATGATCCACCTGCCTGTGCTAACGATTTACGCTGGCAGGGCACCAGTGGAGGATGATAAGATAAGCATGAGGTCAGGTCAGTTATCCCATCATGGCAAATGGCAATTTACCACGATGGTTTCCAGGGGAATCCGCGTGGAGGTCAACCTGACCTTGATGTACCATACATTGCTAGCAATGGGGTTATTAGTCCACATTAACAATCGCCTCCTCACAATAGAAGTTGCGTTCATCTTACAAGCTTGTGCCGATCGATCCCCCATCCCCTATCGATCCCCCATCCAATTCATACGGGGCTTGAAATTACGACGGCCTGAGCCGAGGTTCGAACCACTAGTGGTGGGGGGGTAGGGGATTGTTAGTTATGTGGATTGATAACCCCATTGCTAGCAATGTACCATGTCAGGTCGACCTCCACGCGGTTCCCCCTGGAAACCATCGTGTTAAATTCCTGGTGAATTTGTCACGATGGGCTAACTGACCTGACCTCATGCTCATCTTATCATCCTCCACTGGTGCCCCGCCAGCGTAAACCGTTAGCGCAGGCGGGTGCACCATTCCATTATCCATCCACAAAAAAAAAATACCCCTAGTGGTGCCCTCAGAGTAAAGACGTATCCGTCAGGCAGGAGCTGGCCTTCAGCCGCTCCATAAGTTTCCTCTGGTTTGGAGTGCCATCTGCACTCGCCCTCTAACGTCCGATGAAGCTGTAAAGGCCAGCTACGGCCAACAGCATTAGACTAGAACGAAAAAAAAAAAAAGCTGTGTTGCATTTTTGTTGAGTCATATTCGAACTCACTGCCTTTGATATTTAAATAAGAGTAGTAACCCACTAGACCACTATGTTATATTACAATAGTACAATTGCAAATTAACGTAGACCTGTATTTAACTTGTAAACAAAACATCAACGAAAAAGTTGTTAAGCAGAACATGGCCTGCTCTGGTACTCAGATATAATAACACTGGATATGCTATTATTTTTAAGGGATGAAAAAGCACTCATCAGCTCTAATAAACCAGTCTCCACAAGCAGCATTCACGAGTATGACGAACTTCCTACATGTCATGGATGATGCAATGGTGCTACAGCCTGTGCTAACGGTGTATGCTGGCGGGGCATCAGTGGAGCTTGAGGTCAGGTCAGTTAACCCATCGTGGTAAGGTAAAAGAGATTGTTAGTAATGTGGACTGATGATCTCATTGCTAGCAATATACCATGTCTGGTTGATCTCAGGTTCCCCCTGGAAACCATCGTGATAAATTCTTCGTGAATTTTTCACGATGGGCTAACTGACCTGACCTCAGGCTCAGCTTATCATCTTCCACTGGTGCCCCGTCAGCGTATACCGTTAGCGC